AATGGCTCCTCAATATTTGCATCTTCTGAATAATAAAAATCGTTGCTGCCTCCTCAAGGATAACTAAGGTTATGTCAATTGGCAGAATACTGTTGCAGTTTCCTAGAAACAGAAAAGCCAGCGTGTTTGTACCTAAATGAAACACATTCTTAACTTAATATCATTGACAGTTCTAATGCTATAATTCTGTAAGAATGTATTTACTGTATCTTTAAGATACAGAAAAAAACAGAAAAAATATAACAGTTCTGCTAAATAGTATTATTTTTTGCTTAATGACATCATTGGTAAATAATTACGAAACGAAGAATGATCCCCACAGTCTTTGAACGCCTCATACTTTCGGCGGAGGATTTTGCTACGCAAATTGCGCTTCCATCGAGACGTCAGTCAGATGCTCAGATGGAGAGCAGCGGCACCAAACTTCGGCGCGCGAGTTGTTATTCTAAGGTCTGTTCACTCTTCTTTGTTCTCTTATCTCTATTTTCAAGGCACGTGAGCGCTTCGAGTTTCTTTCTGTCATGAAACATTTGTTTGCTTGTCACAGATAACTGACACGTTAAGCGAGTACTTGACATGCGGAAAAAACGGTTAGTTCACGTAAACAGTAAAGAGAAAGTTCTTCGGTATTTTCAAACAAACTAACCTGAGGAACATTTGGGTCTATGACTCTTTTAATCAATATTGATACAAATTAATATATAGAGGAGTTTTAAATAATCAAACACTACTACTGACCCCTCTATAAAGCTACTCTGTCATAGATGTTACTTTCTAAAATGGCAACAGTACTTAGTGCATGCCAGAAACATCCATTTGTTTCATTGATTTAATACTGTATTGATTTAACAGCATATTTTTACCATTGCTTATTTAAAAAAAAAAACTAGTCGCTCTTAACTCACTTATTTTTCTCTCCCTTCCATTATTTAAGGAGAAAAGATAAGAATTTCTACATATCAAATATTTAATAATTATACAATTTTAGGGTTTTCTTTATGACTGTCATTCGTTTTTAAACTGTGTAACCAGAGGTGCAGGCTAAATGTGTGGCAAAGAAATAAATATGTCTCGGAAAATGTTGTCAAGTGGGCGTAGTGTCGTCATCAAACAAGAATAATACCAACCACCACCGACAAGTCAATGTTGTCAGTTTCCTCTGCTCAACGTTCTATTTATGTATAAGCATGTCATATATGAGCATCCATATGGCTTTGAGCCCTCTGCTCTTTAGTGGTCGTGATATAACTGCTGAGCCTCCATAAGTCTTAAGTGCAGACATATAGGATCGTGACGTAAACATGACCCCTTACACTAAGTGAATGAATGTATAATAAAAATAATAGCGGTAACACGGGAAGTGATTTGAGCGTCATAGTGCTCAGGTTATGCCCACTGATAAGTAAAACAACACAAAACAAAATATTAAAGCTTTTTAAAGAAGCTTTAAAGGGCAGCTTCTCAGTTATTTCAGCTGCTACTGAACGGAGCTGTGACTCAATGATGGTGGCTATGAGAATATATATCACTATATTCACAATATAATAGCAACAATTCCATGAAAAACGTCTGCCTCGTTGTTAATATCATCATAGTTGTAAATATCATCATAGTTGTAAATATTATGCCCATTGTTTGGATTTCACCACATACACTGTTGGGCTATACTTTAGTTTTCAATGGTGCCGATGTCGATCAGCACCTCAGTGGATGCTATGCTACCCTGTAGGTTCGTAGGGAGATGAAGCTCATGTCAGCTGTCAATATGCACATTTAAATGGCACTTAAGAGAAGGAAAAAATGAAAAACTACTGAGTTGGCTGCTGGGAAATGCTGCTGGCCAAATCACTCGTGCGTATTCACATTCAACTTGACTTAATTGAGCCTCAAGGGTTTCATCAGTGAGGATACATGTTAAATTATACTTTCAAATTCCCCAAAAACTGCTCTTATTCACAGTTGGCTAGAAAAGTCAGAAGGAGGTAATAACGATGATCTAAGAAAGACTGTATTAACCCCTTAAAGACTACAAACTTCGTGCAAGCACAATCAATATTCAAGTAACTATATCTAACATCTGTGTGGGGAATCAGGCTGTGGGTACGTGTGAGAACATATCTAAAAAAGCTAACTATTTGCAGGATAACGTAGAGAACATTTTCTCATCCACGACTTAGTGGAAGTTGTGTGTTCATGCATGAAGCAGCTTTGTGTTGCTGTAGGACGCAGTGATGCGGGACTGATCCACACCTTTTTGGCTCAAGGAATATTCGTCTGTAAAATTCTCCGGCTCTTCATCTTTTAAACAAGCTGCGTTGTTTTTCTGTAACACAACATGCAAAATGCCAAATGCCATACAGAGCGTCCGATGTATCAGCAGCATGATGCGTCCGTTTCATAGCCTGTGGTCAGAAAGAAATGTGTTCCTACATCCAAAGAAAAATATACTCACAAGTAGGCAATACTTTATCACAGCTGAGTGAGAGGAATGTCTATCTATCTATCTATGTGTGTATAAATACACACAAGCATACAGTTCATTGTTAGTCTTAAGTAGACTTAAGTCTTAATTAACTTATATTATTAACTTATCTTATAAGCGCCATTCTTATTTTTTAGAGACTTAATTGTTGTCTTCATTTCCTGTCGTCCTATAACTATAACAAGACAATAAATGGAGAAAATATTAGACAAAGATCACCTTTTATAAGCCTCTGTCCGATGTTCACCACATTTGACACCACAATTTGTGTATGTGTGTGACCTACAGTGTGTATTCTGTGGTTGTCAATGCTACTTTGAATTCGAATGGATGACCACTTCCTAGATGTTTTAAGTGCTTGGGTTCTTGTCAAATCAGCAGCTAGAGTAAAAGGTTACCACCACAACAAAGATTCCTCACCCCCTCGCTTCTCTTCGATCAGATCCCACACGCTGTGCTTTGATGGTGATGGCTACAGAGGGTCAGGTAGCAGGTTCGCTGGACTCTGCCCTCTGAAATGAAAGCTTTCTGAAAGGTCTCTGGCTTTGGCACACCGGCTGCTGACATTCGCTCCATCTCCGTGTGTGTTTGAGGATGAGTGAGGGTGGCATTTTAGGAGCCACGGGTGGTTGAGGAACAGTGAATCCACTTTCTAAGCTGACACCTGCCATGCCTGCACACGTTGAGCTCTGCGGTCTGAGACAAGATAATACATAAAACACCCAATAACTTCTGTTCATGGGCCTACGTTTTATAGATCTGCATCCTCTCACTAGAACCATTAAAGCAACTTTAAAAGGCCTGTGTTCACCCCCGAGGGAGGAGTAAACATTAGCAGCTGATTTACAGCACTTTGGCTGCTGTTAGCTTAAAAAAAAAGCATGAAGATCAGCCACTTGGTTTAACAATGACCCCTGTGTTAGCCCTGCCCAAATCCACTTTTCATTTAGAGTACGGCCCTTTAGGACAAAGAAAGAGGGCAGAGACAGATTAAACCTATTAGCACGTCAACGGAGGCACGATTTCATATTACACCGACTCAAAACCTGCATGGTATGTGGTGTCTTTTCGAGTCAATCAAAAACAAATGATGAAAGAAACTGACCTAAACCCACTGGCATTCTAAAACAAATCTGTGGCACCTGACACCAACCGACACTAAGTAGAGCCTTCAACAGTGAGTAATCTGCTCCTACAGTTACCTGTAGTTACTCAGGCCAGTGTGTCTCCTAACACTCTGGAATTATTTATGAAGACTAATCATCTATCGAGCTGCTGTTGGTTATGAAGTTTTCCAAATCTGCTATCAAATTTGAACACCAATTTGAACTGCTTTATCTAGGTCAATTTCAATAAAACTTCTGTGGTCTGAATCGGGAGCATGACACCAACATTTGTTAATAATCCTCAGCAATAGATCGCACAAATGACAGAAAATGCTTTCAGCTAGTAACCTCTGACATCCGATATCTAACATTTCGAGCTACATTATTATGTGTTCAACACAGTTTTTTTCTTGTTTGCTGCAGCCCCACCTGTTAGGCTTTAAAAAAAAATTGCTCAGAGGCAGGAAGTGTGGTTACACTTGAACGCCGGAAGTTTTACTCCTCCTGCTTGAACGCAGCTCTTATAGAAGAGGCTCAACTTATATGGGAGAGCTGCAGGTTTTTAGTGTTTCGTAAACCTCAGTTTGTGGCGTGTGCCGAGGCGTGGGATCATTTCAAAATCAAGATGCATTAATGTGCTTGTGATTGCTGTTAAAAAAGTGCAGAGTTTCCTGGTTGAAAATGTGATGCTAATACCAAAACACGTGTGTTTGTGCATGAAAAACACCGTTTTCACTACTAGCGTTGTTGCATAAATGTTTATATTAAAAAAAATGAATTAATTATAGTTGTGGAAAACAGAGCAAAGGCTTATTTAGGAACACATCCAACATTGCCGTTACTGTCCACACAATGGAGCTGGATCTGATGACCAATAAACTACGAACTACAACCTGCATCCCATAATGTTTTCGTTTTGGAAGATAAGAGAAAGTTACAACAAACGGTTGCCTGCGCGCCATTTCAGAATGTTTTACCTAGTGATGTTTACCATCACTAGCAAGCAAAAAAAGCAAAAGGTTTTCTTTAGTCCAGTAACGTTCATATTCATTCTCCTCTCAGTTCTGACTTGTTTTCATAATCTCTGGGGGGAAAATGATGCATCTCTTAAGCTGCTAAATGCATCGCTGTGGTCACCATCTGGTTGGCCAACTGCCAGCTCGGTGAGGAAGGTCAAAGTGTGCAAAACACCAAAGGTTTTCTTTAATGCAGGACTTCTGTCCTTAAAAGCAGCTGAGGCGCCAAGAAAACCTGTGCACGTTAAGTCCAAAACAATGAGCTTTTTCCTTTGACATACAGCTCGGACCTATTTGGTCAAACTACGGACTAAGTGGCGGCCGGGTTTACAGTAAGGGGTGACTTGTGCCGGCTTCTGACGCGGAGCAGTGCAGTTATACATCTGCTCATCTGCGTTTAGTATTTCAGCCCTATTAATAGTCACCTCCCAGCCTCCTCTCTACGACTGCGGCCAACACACACACACAGCTCTGGGACTCAAATATCACATCGACCGGCACCAAATGGCAGCGAGGAAGACTGCTTCTAGGGAGGAAAACGTGTTACAGGTGTGTCGCAGTGATGCTGTCATTTCGATGGTTGATCGCACAAAAGCCGAGACGTGATTTTACTTTGAGGGGCTCCCAGGTGCTCTGCCAAGCATGACATCTGCTGGTTAGACACACTGAGAAGTTTGTGGGACTTGTTTTTCAGTGACACTGAGGCTCAGCGGGACGGTCTGTAATCTTACTTTTGGTTTTGGTGTGGATAAAAAGCAAAACGCTTTGAACTTGTGACACTTGGGTTCTCTGCTTAGTCCACAGTGTTGGTTGTTTAGCTTTAAATCTTGCTTTTTTGCCGCCAGCTGGAGGAGACACAAGTCTAGAGTTTGTAGTCAAATCTTGTGGTTACAACACTGAGGGTGATGAAGTCTTTGTCTCTTGTTTCTTCCTCTCACAGGTTTTTTAAAGCGCGAAGGGCGGAAAGAAGCAAACCTCGCCTCTGCCTCCTCCCCCGCCCTGCCCACCGATCTTTCCTCTGCAGAAAAAGTACTCGTCGGAGAGAGGTGCGGTGCAGAAAGAGCTCGTCCACAGCGTGGCCAGATTTGTTTTTGTTTTTTTCCCTGACGAGTCTCTGCTAAAAGGACATTAACCGCACGGTTTTCCTGGAGGTTTGTTGTTGTTTTTTTGATTGGAGGTCAGACTGTAATCCGCCAGCATGTCGCCATTCCTGCGGATTGGGTTCTCCAACTTTGTTATCGATCCCGGTCTGGCTTATTATGAGGAGGTGCTAAACCCGTACTGCGCCGTGTACATGAAGGAGGCCATCGACACAGGTCAGTAACTGCAACTAAATGATTTATTTTGTCTATCTGCTGAACAAATGGATGTCTGAACACAACTGGTGATGTTAGTGGCAACATTTTTTGTTGACAGTTCAGGTGTGCTCGTCCCAATGCTGTCCAATTCAAACAGTGCTTTAGAAATGTCCAGGACAGCCCCAGTGAGGCTGTCTATGTTTGGGTGCCACACTTACAACTATCCAGTGGAGCGGTTGGATCTGACCACTGATAAACATTTTATTGTTGTGATAATTGTGTGTGTGGTTTCTGTGGCTCAGTTTTAAACTGCAGCCGTCTAAATCTGATGACTGGTTAGGTCCTTCGAACTGAAAAATGCAAAGCCTTCAAACAATGCAGCTCTCAGATGCTATTCTCTGACTTTTACTATGTATTTTTTGGATCCATTTTGGTTTTACAGTGTTAGGTGGATAAAACAAACACTTCGTGTTCTGGATTATGTCAAGTGTTGTGAATTAAAATGATAAAATGACACTCAAAATGAATTAGTAGTTACACATATAGGGATAAAATCCTACTTCAAGTTCTAAGAGTCCCTTTTAGGGAAATATAAGAAATCCCATGTTTAAGAAATCCCATACTATGAAGTGATTCTTATGATGTGCAGTGAGCAATAGTGACTGTGTAATGCGAACAGAATAGCAGAAGTTCTGAGTTTACTATTAGTTAGAAATGGAACACTAGGATTTGAGTCACAATGCGAGGAAATAAATTTAAAAATAGGGTTATAGATTATCTGATAAAAAAAGGCCTTGAAATTGCGTTGAGTGGCCAAAAAGAATAGAAATAGATAGATGTGTAATTGGATTTGTTTCAAACCAAAGATATTGTAAAATCTAAGATATGGCAAAAAAAGAAGTTTACGCAATAGATTAATAAACTGTACTAATATAGTTTAGTGAAAGGTCACAAATTCTTAAAAAAAGAAAACAACACAAAATACATCCTCTACAGTGTTGATTGGTATTGGGAAGGCTGTGGATAAGCAAAAGGGGGCAGAGGGTGACTTACACATTACAAGACAAATGTCACACCTTATTGATTTTTAGGCATTATGAACAATTAGAAGCCAGGTTTCCTTTTTCTTTGGTGCCTGGGAAAAACACAAACTGAGTGTCTGGGAGGAGTTAACAGTCAAAATAAATGTAGCTTTTATGGCTGAAAGCATTTAAACCTATGTCAGTTAGCATGGTGATGGCAGTTATCAAGGTAGATTATTATCGTACAATATTTTTTTAAAATTTGGTCCATTTAGCATGCATGGCATTCATGTTAAACCACCCTTTTGTGGTTGCAAATTCCTTTCCAATGTTCCATTTTAGAGAAAAATGTCTCACCATGATAAAAATGCAGATATCTTTGTTCTACATTTGGTCAACTTTAACCACTGGTGAGTAAGAGTTCAGGATAAAGCTAAAAAAAAAGAGGAACTGGGAGGAGAGAGGAGGCCTCTATACCTTCTTCGATTATTCAGAAAAACCACATGAACCTGCCCGGCAAGGACAAATATGTGTGTTTCATTTCCCACAAACTCACTCATCAACTTGTGTTCATATAATTTGGTTTCATTTCAGTTTGCCTTCAAATCTGAATGACAGGCAGGAACACTGGTGACTCAAAGTAGAAAATACTGTCATGAGAGATGTATATCTATTGATTTTTTTAATCTGCACATTTTACCATTGACAGTCGGTACATCACACTAAAGGATCTCTGCCTCAGTGTTTACAGCAGCACAATGCTGAACCTGTGAAATCAAATGCTGACAATTAGAAAGTTCACTGTTGGCTAGAATTGTTTTTTTTTTCAAGAGCAAATATAGCTCCAATCAGGCATTTTTGGCTCCTGTGGCTGAAGCCATCTTTAAATAAAAGTGATAGAAAGCCTATTCAAGTAGTTTTCCCATTGAAGGCGTCATATTTTCCACATTTCCAAAAATATGTGTGCTTTTTGCTTTTCTAGATCTACTACATCTGCATTGGGCTCACAGTTTTAGTGAAGTTTATGATTAATTTAAAAAAAAGTTTATATTGCAATAACAAAACTAAATCCGAGAGCTGAACTGAAAAATATATATCAGAAATAGGCTTTAGTCTTTAGCATGGTCTTAACCCTCAGAGAAGTGTTCTGTCTTTTCTTTGTTGGATTTCTTTTTGGTTTAATTTCTTTAAATCACCCCGACATACTGCGCATGTGCATTTGGTAATCTTTTAAGCCTGAAAGTGTCCATAGATGGAAACTTAAAATTATGCAATTTTGACACAAGCTCCAAATAGAAAGTGGTTGAGGATCCTTTAAAGATGGGTTTATTTACAAGTTGTCTGTTATGTCTGGATAACATTCATTCATGCCTTCGGTTCTTTTTTATGTAAGACAACTGTCCAATGTAAAATTAAATTGAGTAAATTAAAAAGAGCACAAAAAAAACAACACTAAAGTTAGTCACAGAGCAGTAAAAACAAAACGAGGTAAAGGAGTTCTTGGACGTTCAAACAATGTTACGTTGTAGTTTTGGTCTTGATATAAAAAAGAAAAAAAATGTAACTGTCAAAGGTTTGCTACTTACTATGTGTTCATTTAAAATCTTATTTGAAAACATATTTAAACAGAACTTCCTTTTGAAAATCTAATGACGCACAGTTATGGCAAATCTTATCAGTTTTATTTTTTCTTCAGACATTGAAATAAACCAGGATCAGGTAATGCTGTGGTGCATGTATAGAGACAGGTGAAGGGCAGAGTGAAGTCTAGATCACACCTTAGAGGTTTTTCACAGAACACAGATACTGATTGAAAAACAGAGAAAAACATTCTTGGTCTGATGTAGCCAATTAATCCATCCACAAAAATGGAAATTTTCTCGTCTGATCGCTTTAATCAGCGATGATGGCAGGTGGCGGGGCGGATGGACAGACTGACGATGAGCCGATGATGGAGCGAGCAGTGGGTCGCTTCAAGAGTAAAAAGCTTAGTTGGTTTTGTTGTTGAGGCTGGATAAGGCTTAAGGCTCTTATATAAGTGGATGTATGGGATATAATTACAACGTGAAGGCACCTTTCCTCTCCCCCGTTTCGCATCCACTGCAACTGAAAATATGTCAATAAAAAGGTAGTAGTGATAGAAAAGTGTTTGCCGAGTTATCTGTTACTCTATTATTTACGCAGGAAGTCTGGCTGTTTTAAATAAGTTATGATTTTCTCTAAGTAAGAACTGTTATTTATTTAGTTGTAGTATCTAAAAAAGACCAAATACCCCATACAAATCAACCACTAACTGCTAACATGTGGCTGAATGTGGATAAAAAAATCCTGCAAACAGATCTGATCTGGTTCTAAACACAACACCAGTGCGGACCTGCTGATATTTTCTCAGTGATCAGAAACTGCCCCACCGCAGCCTGCGGCCAGCAGCCAGCAAAACGCTGTCCTTCTTTTACACAAAGCTTTAGATGACAACTTGGGAATGAAAACAAGCTCGTAATCCTTTCGGGGGATACCCTGTGTATTCATCCTGTTTGCTCGGATAAACTCCTAATGCTGCTTTTCATCATCCACAAAATGGTAAGTGGACTGCGTGTTTCTAGTGTTGCTCATCCCCCAAAGCGCTTTTCTCCAAAAAGCCACATTCACACAGCACTTTTCAGGCCAACCTGCCCAATGGAATTTCCTCTCACACACATCAGAGGCTTTTGTGTGGTTAGGTGTCCTGCACAAAAATATCAGTTTGGTTACATTTGGGGTTTTGTCTTGAATCAAATACAAAACAAATACCGAACAATAATGTCTTATTCTTGCTTTCAAAGCCAAACTTATTCTTTAAAGGCCTGTTCAGACAAATGGAAACTAAAATGCCCCAGCGATGCATTTCAGGATGTTGTCACTCTTTGCCCTTTAGAGGAAGCCTGTGAACACGGTTACACCAAATTCTCTGAAGTGACACTGAAAGAACAAGTTTACTTTGAAATCTCACGTCCTCTCTGTTGATGAGAAGGCAGCCAAGCTGAGCCTCGCTCAGGGAACATTTTCTGTTCTCATTTTTCTTACTAGAGAAGGGTCAAGTGTACAAGCAGAAGAAGCCCACCATGTACCCACCATGGAGCACCACCTTTGATGCCCATGTCCACCGGGGGCGCATCATGCATGTGATGGTCAAGGACCGGACAGCGGAGCTCAAATCTGAGGCCACGGTGGCTCTGGACTCGCTAGCGACACGCTGCAAGAAGGAGAACGGCAAACTGGAGATTTGGGTGGGTGCGGCAGGGGAAGTGTGTAGGTGTGTGTGTGTGTGTGTGTTATAGAAAGAGCTGCTGTGCTGCTATTTTGGTCAAATCCAGATGGGCAGACTCACTGCGGGGTAATCCCCCCTTTTCAGTTATTGAAAATAATATAGAACTAAAAGTAGGTTGCCACTTTTAGTAGTTGGCATCATAATTTGCTCTGCACCGAACAAAATGTTTCTTTGTGAACAGCTGTTGGGTAATAACATTAATGATGGCTCTCATCCAGGTACATCTCCTAGTTATCGGTGGTAGAGAGCTCGTGATAACGGGACATTTGGAGATAATTATAAACATATCAAACAAACAGAGCTGTGTCAATATTTAACATTTTTCCATGTTTTTGATAGAGATATTTAATCGTATTGATCAAGTTAGAAAAGAGGAACAATAGAGCGAGTCGTTTTACCAATATTGGGCTATTTTGTAACAGTCGGTTAATTAACTCAAAACCAAAATATTAAAGCTGTTAATTAATATAATCCTGCCCTTGCTTTAGCTTCTCTCGCTGTTGACGACATCAAAACCATCATCTGTTTCTAAAGCAGTTGAAAAGAAAAAAAAGAAATCCAAAATGATAAAAGCCCCTGGAAAGAACCCTAAAACGCATTTTAACAAAAGGAAGAAAAAGGACAAGTAGCAGTCAGATCAGTTGGAAACCATAAATGATCAACATTTCATGAAGTATCAATTCACAGCATTCACCCACTTCTGGCTGCGTTGTCTTTGATCGGGGGTGAAACACAGAGCCCTTCCTCAGAAGTAGACTCTTTGTTTTCTTCTTTGTTTGACAAGAGCCGTGTCATAACAACAGTGTCATACCAAACTGGGATATCAAACGCACAACAGACAGATGACCAAATTCAAACGATGGCTCTGATCCGTCTATGTGTGGTTAGTTCGCGCCTTTCTCAGAGCACCCAAACACCTCGAAATGCATGCGCCATCATCCCCCCACACATCCTTCCCTTTCAGCCATATTCTTTTTCTCATGAATTTCCTTTGGGTTTTTTGTTTTTTATTTCTCATTTTCTGTCTTTTCATTTCTATCTTCAGCTAGAGCTGAAACCCCAGGGTCGCATGCTGATGGAGGCCAGGTACTACCTGGAGAAAAGTGGTGAGTTGGTCCAGCTTTAATTGGATAATTACATAATATAGTCTTTTTAAAGGGGTCAAATGCTGGTTAGATATAGTGACTGGTATTAAACTTAGAGTGTAAAGGCCTGTGCCACTTGTGGATGTCTAAATCTGCCCTAATTGTCCTGTCCTCAGTGCAATTTGTGACTCTATAAATACAAGTTTGGCTGCTTTGAGGGACTGCAAATGGTTATTTGAGCGCTTTGTCTTTTCACCGGTGCTTTCCTGACATTATCGCCATGTGAAGCCGAGAGAAGTCAGAGGACTAAAAGGGAAGAAGCCATGTCATGTTTCTATATATAAAGCCAACAAATAGGAAATCACTGCTCAGAGCAGCAGGTGGCAATCTGACAGGCATGCCGTGACGTGAACACACACGACTTCCTCTTGCATGAAAACAGATACAGTGCAAAGTGTGTTCTAGCTGTGCTCTAAAAGACGAGTTAAAGGATATTAAGCAGAGAAAGCCACTTGAGCAGATGTTGGAAAGCAGTACTTCAACAGCTTGGGGTACGTGATGATTTGTTTCCTTTGTCAGAGGGGAAAGGATCAGCATCAGCCCCACATCTGTCTGTGAATGGCGAGCTCGAGTCAGAGATGAGTTAGATTCAGGAAATATTCGTCATTTTTTCCACAGCTTTCTGATGCGTTGCTGTCTGTGAAGTTCTGGGTCAGAAACCCAAATCACAAACGTTTGTCAGGATTTCCCTTTAAGCAGTGACTTTATTTATATATATATATATCTGTTTAAATAAATATTTCTAAAGATCTGGTATCTGATGACAGAAACACACACGTTTTTTTTTTTTAAAGAGACAATAACTATTGATGACTACAGTTTTTTGGTATTAAAAAAAAAATCCTACACTTATTTGAATGGTAGATTTGTACCATGTCGGGTCTGGTTACCTTAAAGGAAAACCAGAAGTAGGAGGGGTTCACTTAGCCACAGCCAGACAAATGAGAAATTGGGTAAGATTTGCTGACAATGCATTAACAGTTTCACTCCAACGTGTGCTTCCAGGGCAGTGGTCAACAGCTACATGTTCCAGTTTTAGAAAAGCGTGGGTGTGAAAATTAAGTAATATCTTATTCAGCAACACTTGAATATATGATAGGATAAGAAAATGGAAAATGCTGAGAATGCAGAAAACTGTGTTGACAGCCTGTGTTTTCAGTGATGTGAGGTCATGTGTCTGATGATAAGGAGGGTCACAGTATCTTTAGTCAGCAACCTTCAGCTAAGATTAAACACCACTGTGACTTAAAAGTCCAGTTTGTAAGAAGCAGTGACATCTAGCAGTGCTATTCAATTAATTATTTTTTCTTGTGCATTCTCACCGTTATTTACTTGTGGTGTTACACCGCATTATGAAGGGTTAGTTGGGTGGAGCCATACTCTCAGGTTTTTGATGTTACACACCAAAGTTGATATTGAGCAGAAGAAAAAAATTACTCATTCAAAATTAACCTTGTGCTGGTAGGAAGCACCTCTCTAGTCTGCAGAAGGTGTGAAATGGAAACTACAGCCGTCCTCTTAAGCTGCGGCTATGCGGCGCCTCTTCTCAGAGCTTGTCTTTTAATGCTCACAGATGCTGCCGGTCAGACAGAGGCCAACCAGGATCCTGAGCGTGAGAGCGAGGGACTATTCACGCTCCATCAGCGACGTGGAGCCATCAAACAGGCCAAAGTTCATGTCGTCAAATGTCACGAATTCAGCGCAACCTTTTTCCCTCAACCAACGTTCTGCTCAGTCTGCAAAGAGTTTGTCTGGTGCGCGAGCGACTCTGATGTCAAAAATTGCCAGATTAGTCATTTTCAATGCTTACATGAGTCATTTGAGTTTTTTTTTCTCCCATGCAGGGGCCTCAACAAGCAGGGCTACCAATGCAGACGTGAGTGTCAGTTTATTTTCCGCTGAAAGGCTGGACAGTGCTTCTGAATTACGCCTAATTTTGTTTCCCCTCTGTGTTTTAGAGTGCAACGCAGCCATTCACAAAAAATGTATCGACAAAGTCATCGCCAAGTGTACTGGTTCAGCGGTGAACAGCAAAGAAACAATGGTGAGCCACCCAGTTACAGATAAAATCCAAGGATGAAGCAAACATGGAAGCTTATGTCTAGAGTGTTAGTTAATCAGACAGTCACCACATACAGATATGTCTGTACAGCAGATCCTTTTTTTATTGTCACAGTGTCCACCAGCTTTCAGAAAGAGGAGTACACTTGTAACAAAGTGTGGGTTTTTTGCAGATCCATAAGGAGCGCTTCAAAATCGACATGCCCCACAGGTTTAAAGTCTACAACTACAAAAGCCCCACTTTCTGCCAACACTGTGGGACGCTGCTATGGGGGCTCGCCAAGCAGGGGCTCAAATGTGAGGGTGAGAGGCGGGGTTTTTAATCATATTGTCTTGTGAAAATTTCTGAAAACCAAAGCGTGCTTTCTTTAATTTCTGAGGGTTTGAGATTTTAAAGCTAAAGCTTTAAGCTGTGCCACCAGTTATAAGATCGTTTGCAAGCCCAATCCTGGTGTCTGATAATCCGGCTCTCCATTTTTGAGTCATTTTGATGTGGCTTAATGTTGATACGAGTACAGTTTGAGGGGCTGACAAGTACGTCTGGATTAGGGTTTTTCTAGAAAATTGCATGTGTAATTGACAGAAAAAAACAAAAATGAAGCATTCAAATACTAATTGGAGCATCAATTAACATTGCCTTAAAACAACACCATTAATATTTAGGCAGGCTCTCAAAATAGAGGTTATTAAACTCAGAAATTTGCCACAGAATGCTACAAAATGGGGATTTTTTGTTTTAAGAATAAGTGCCACACATCCGCAGGTGCCGCAGAGGTCTCCCCTCTACAGTGTAAGAGTTCTCCACATGAATATGCACACACCAGAGGCTTTTGAAATGCTTTCCTAACATAAGAGGCTTACATCCCAAGCCCACCAACAACATTTCATCCTTGATTCAGATACATTCTAAACAAAAATGTTATCTGCACCACAGAGCGGTAATAATTTAATTCACATCCCTTCCAACATCTGACACTGAGGCAAATATGTGAACATTTACCATCAGCTACGATGGGAAATGCTCTGATTTCTAGGCATGTGTTGGTTGATTGTGTGTAAACAGCTGTTGTGGCAGGTGCTGAGAATAGGGTTACATCTGAAATGACTTGTATTTCCTCTAAGTCAGTCTGGGAACGTCAGCTGCTGTGCAGCGACCCAGGGAAAAAAAAAAAAAAATCAGTCCTTTCCGATGGAAATAAACCCTTAAACCAAAGAATGGTATTCATCCTGCATTTGTATATCTGGACACCATTCCATTAACTCAAAATTAAATGTACGGTATCCAGGCAGCAAATAATCTGTTTTCCTAAACCCGAAACTAATCCCTCATTAATTTGATGAATGAACTCGCCTCCCTCATGGAAAGAAGCTCATTAAACTGTATGAATTAGTCTTGTTTTTTTCCACATCTATCAAATGCCTTTTAAATTATTTTCATGTTTTTTTTTAGAATGTGGCATGAATGTCCATCATAAATGCCAGAAGAAAGTAGCCAACCTCTGTGGTGTCAACCAAAAGCTAATGGCCGAAGCTCTGGCCGTCATTGGGAGCAAGCAACAGGTCAGAAAAACACCTCTTAAAAAAAACTTATCTAATCACCAAATTTTTCAATTATTAAAATAACTTTTGGGCTCTTTCATCTTGAGGAATAAACAGCTTCATCAGTATAAACCATGTCCTACCTTTCTTCCTTTCTTCTAAAGGCAAAAAGCCCCAAAGAGTCCGATATTATTGGTCGAGATGGTCCAGTCGGCATTGGCCAGCCTGGCGTGGTCCGAGCTCCGTCCGGGTTAGTGACTGGTTTACCTGCCACAGCGTTGCCTGCAAACAAAGGTACACTTTCATTAAAATTAATCACTGGTTCTTTTTTTTTTTTTAAGTTCATTCTAGCTTTGATCAATCTGTCATTTCCCCTCCTTTATTGCAGATTTACAGGGTGTTTCCTGGGAGGGGCCGGCAGATGTCAGCAGGTCAGACACTGAGGCGCTTCCAGAAGAGCCTCTGTACGCCGTTCCGAGGAAGGATCATCAATCTAAATTCGCCATTGATGACTTCACCCTACACAAGATGCTGGGGAAAGGAAGCTTTGGAAAGGTGCTGCAGCGGGGTCTCTGTGTAACCTCAGCAAACAGAACCGAGCAAAGATCTCCCGACGCCGAAAAAAAAAACATGTAGCACCTTATGTTCATTTCAAATTGAACATAAATATTTAAACATATGTTCAATAACTGCTGCGTTACTGGTGTGACCATCTGAAGTGAAAAAAACGTTTCCTTTAGGTTTCTCAAAGACAGCGGTTAGTCCTCTCACATTACACTAGAGCTTGTGGTCAGGCTTGTTTCAGTGGCAGGTTTCCACAGAAACCCCCTCATTGCTGGTGGTGACATCATTTTAAACGGTCCCAGTTTGAAACACAGTGATGGAACAAAACGTCCCCCTCCCCTGTGATTCCAGGTGTTTCTGGCCGAGCTGAAAAAGAGCGGGCAGTTTTTCGCAGTGAAGGCCTTGAAGAAGGACGTGGTCCTGATGGACGACGACGTGGAGTGCACCATGGTGGAGAGACGGGTTCTGTCCTTAGCCTGGGAGAATCCTTTCCTCACGCACCTTTACTGCACGTTCCAGACCAAGGTGAGGGCCGACAAACCTCGATGAACGCAATGCGTTCTAAGACGGAGAACAAGGCCACACATCTCCCTGTGTTTCCATGTCCAGGAAAACCTGTTCTTTGTAATGGAGTACCTGAATGGAGGAGACCTCATGTTTCACATCCAAAACTGCCACAAGTTCGATTTATACCGAGCCACGTGAGTAAAGATGCTACAAATACTACTTTTTTACTCATGTTGCAAAACAAATGGTATTTTAATTGTGTATTATAAACACCTGTATCATGTAGTATTTAAGGACCTACTGGAGGAAAAAAAAACAGGCCTTTTTTTATCTTCCTGCAGCTTCTATGCAGCTGAGATAATCTGTGGGCTCCAGTTCCTGCACTCCAGGGGAATTATTTACAGGTAGGCGATCCATGACAGCAACATCCAGAGGTGGAATCTGTGATGTAGCCTTGATACACCAGACTATGTTTTTTCATGTCCCCTCCTTCTGCTCCTCGACAGAGACCTAAAGCTGGACAATGTGCTGCTGGATTCAGAGGGTCACATAAAGATAGCAGACTTTGGAATGTGTAAGGAGAACATGCTGGCTGACCTGCGGACATCCACCTTCTGTGGAACGCCTGACTACATCGCCCCTGAGGTGAGGAAATGGGATATGATAGGCCTACTTTATGCCTGTGAGTTAAATACATGTTGAGATCTGTTGGTCCAGAAGGTCGACTCAAATCCAGCTGGCCGCAGTTGTAACCCTCAAAGTCGCTTTACAGAAATTAGGAAACAACTCATTTGCTTGATGGTGTGGCAGATCCTGCTGGGACAGAAGTACAACAGCTCAGTGGACTGGTGGTCGTTTGGAGTGCTGCTCTACGAGATGCTGATTGGTCAGTCTCCGTTTCATGGCCGTGATGAAGAGGAGCTGTTTCAGTCCATACGGACGGATAACCCGATTTATCCCGGCTGGCTCACCAATTCTGCCAAAGACATTCTAGTTAAGGTGAGACGCTGTCTGTATTATAGTTCAGGATTACTCTGGTTTTTTAAATGCGTTTGTGCTTTACTTCAGCAAGGTTTTAAAATATTTTGGCTTTTTTATTTAGAATACGTACAAATACATGAACAAAAAAAAAATTAAAAAAAAAAAAATTATAATTATACTGAGGAACAAACTCAAGTAGATGTGCAAACAAACTGTAGCAAAGGAATCAACACCTCTAGTCTGACAGTATCATAGGCTTTAAACCCCACATATCTAGGAACACATATCTAAGAACTGATGTCTGAGATTTTCCTTAGAAATCCTTTTAGTTTTCTTAACCTACCTGGCTAAAGCCGTCTCGGTGCGGAACTGCTGCATGTTTGCTCCTCAGCTGTTTGTCCGGGAGCCCGAGGAGCGGCTGGGAGTGAAGGAAAACATCAGGCATCACAGTTTCTTCAACAGCACCGACTGGAACGCCCTGGAGCAACGGAGGGTGACTCCACCCTTCAGACCAACCCTAGTGAGTAAAGAGTCCGTGTTCACTGAACACACACCAGAAATTCTGATTCAAATAAGCTAAAGGAAGTTTAAGCAATGCTGGACATTATGTGCCTTAGGTGGAAGATCCAAACTAGAAATGTAATCATTCTTATTGTCATAAAAGAAAAAGGTTTTATGTTTACTACATTAACTTCTTTAGGGAAATCTGATTCAATGACCAACTAGGAAGTTCAGTTTCATAATTATTTTATAACATTAAATGGAGAACAACCAATAGGGTGTAACAAGAAGTGGAAGACCGAGCACAGACTGGCAGAACAAAGCAGCAAAATAGAGAAAGGAAACATAATGTGTCCTTTGTCTCATAGTAGTTTCTTTCGAAAACAACTTAAGTGTTCACACCTCCAAAAATAACTACTCAGATGGATTTTATGGCACTTCGCCATTTATTTGAAGCAACATTTTTGTTCTTTGTTGTTGCAATTTATGTCATGTGGGTAATTAGTTCATACTTTTTCTTTTTGAAGTTTGTCTTTTAGAGTTAAATTTTCTGTTTAATTGTTTTCTTTCTACTTAAACGCAGGTAGATTTTCTTCTAAACTTTTTAAGTGGTCTTGAGCAACAGTCTTTCTGAGTTTCCCTTATCAACTTCTCTGCCTTTTTACTTATTTTGCTGTCCAGTTTTCCAACCATATCGTATGTGAGGAAGTTAGCCTATCCATGAATCGTTCAAGTATAAATTTCTTTCTTAAAAGCACAGAATTAAAAGGAAGAACACCCGTTGTGTCTACACGGGACAGGCAATGAACTAGAAGACTATTTAAAATAGTGTGTTAAGACACTTTGTAGGTGGCAAATTGCTGTGGAGACTATTTTCTGCAGGGTATGTCACCATCTATTCCCTAAACTATGTTGTCTCCCCCTTTGCAGACGTCACCCAGCGACTGCAGCAACTTTGACAAAGAGTTCATCAACGAGAAGCCGAGGCTGTCGAGTGCTGACCGCACACTCATCAACAGCGTGGACCAGACCATGTTCAGAAACTTTTCCTTTGTTAACCCCGGGATGGCTCGCATCGCAGCGCGTTGACCAAAGAAAAGAAGGAGAAAAAAAAAAGACATTCAAACGAGCCAGAAATGGTGGACTGTAGCTGAAACAAACTGCTGAGGTTACAACACTGCAAACATCACAAATCTCATCTCAGCTCGCAAACATGACGACGATAACCACTAAGAGGGTGTGCTGGGAGTTTTTACTTTTTCCAAAACATACCAAAAATTAAGGAATGACAGCAGTAAAAATGCACTTATAGGAAATTAAGTCGACAAGGAGTTTTCCTGCCATTCTCTAACTGTGACAACATTTAATGTGTTTTGCTTTACTTGGGCCCGGTGTTGGACTAGTGACCTTTCCAGGGTTAACCCACCCCCCTACTAGGTATAAGCAGTATATATAACGGATGAATGGATGTTTTATTTGGTTAATAACACATTTCACTTTCATATTTAAAGTTATTGTCTTTTTTAAGATATTATGAATTTAATCGATTTACATTAATTTAGTTTAGGAACGCTTGTTATGAACTTTTGGTGCCTCACAGATTATAAAGTTCCATCCGTAATCCACATAAATTTAAATAAAGATGTGAAACTTTTTTTTTGTGTGTAAGTAACTAATTCTGTCAACACACTTTGCTGTAGTCATTTCTGTTAATGTTTACAGGTGTATCAGTATTGTGTCAGGAGTTTTATTGAAGTAGCAGGGATCAGACGCACAGTAGCTTCTAATGTTCTATTCAGTGTTGATCAAGAAAAATAAAGTGCATGGTAGTAGGTGTTTTCTTTAAAGTGGTGTTTGTGATTTTGTACTTGATAGTATCTCTCCCCACATGTGCAAAGGAAGTGGAGGTGGAGGCGTTGATACCAAAAGAATAGGCTCAGTTTTTCCACTTGACATTTCACTTCAAAGAATGTTTTTGTACTAAATTAACTGAGAAATCCTTCCAAATTCCAATCAAATCCTTGGCAAATAGGTTTTTCAGTGTTACTATGCTATGTTACTGTAAAAATATTCAAAACTCAATTATCACAGGAGTTTTTTGGTGTGTCAGGTAAGTTTTTTTTGTTACGCAATAGTGCACAGTATACACTGCCACTTGTGTGTGAAACTATGTCATAGTGGTTTGGACTTCAGTGAACTCAGACTTCACATGCATAGAAAATTGAGAAACCTCATTAAATAATTCAAAGTAAAATGTCAGTTTTGGCTCCAAAATCTTTCCTCTCCAGGCATTATTATTACTACATTTCAATTCCAGTTGTCTTGCCTTTTAAATCTATACTCTGCATTACATTACACCACGTTAATCAGGATATACATATATATATACGTGTCTTTAAATGACTGACTACATTTACTAAACTTTTTCGTAAAAAGTAAAAAAGTTGCCATTATTAATTATATTGACTTATTATCCTTAAAGTGTAGAAGCCTCTTTAGTAGGCAGCTACTTTGTCCAAGCTCAGAGGCTATCACTCTAAATCCTCTCTGAACTACATGTAGCCATTAATAACAGCACTTTCAGCCCAAAAGTCAGTTCCTATGTATTTTTTTGTATTGGCAAACTGCATTTAAACTTACTTTTTAAAAAACATATTCTGGTTTTTCTTTTCTTTTTTAAATTAAATAGTGTATATCCCCACCTTATGCTTTTCATTGTGTTAAGTTAATAATGCTAACCGTTAGCATGACGGAGTCTGTGAAAAGGTAAATTGTTACATCCGGTCAGCAGGCGAAACTTACTGCCAGTTACATAATAGAAACATTTTCACACATATTTAAGGCTCAGCTATGTCCAAGTTTAGAAAGGAAGAAATAAAATATTTTTAAAGAGACAATAAGTGCTTTACCTGAAAGGACACACTTGTGTCACAGGTGAGGCCGTTCATTTGAAAAATGTGTCAAGAAAGATGGCAGCCGGAAATTATATGGCGTCTCAGCGCGAGCAAATTTGTTTGACTTTTCTGAAACCTTTAAAACGAGTAACAGAATGAATCAACCTTATATTAAACTTACAGAATAAGCATGAATGGAAAAAAAATCTAATTTTTTTGCGCCTTTTTTTTGTATGACACAATGGCCTGTAGAAAGTTGTGGGAATTTGGTACAAAAAAACATTAAAGGAATTATTAAAAAGGATTGAGAATGATAAAAGTACGTTATAATTCATTCAACATCAATGGAAAATGTCATAAAATCATACTTTGCCATATGTTGTATTTGTCTCAATACGAGATAAACCAGTTTCAACTGGGTAGTTTGGCTTAAGCAAATGTACACTTGGAATGCAGGTAATACTTTTTTTCTTTTCAATATTATTATTACTATGTATCCTAATGAGTGTTTATCACAGCAGCTACTGCTGAAAACTTCTACATACACTGACTAATGCTAAAACTCTCAAAAGTTTGACTTATTATCCTTCCATTGCTTATGGCTTCATCTAAAATCAGTGCAACTGCCTAAAAGTTAATTGCGGTTAGCAAGATTTGCGGTCCTTCAAGTCATAGCATGTCTGAAAAATAAACTGGGACTACTCCCTGTATTTCAATAAATAAACCATTATGGTGTTTCAAGTTTTTTCTGGTGTTTGAACTATTCCTTATTATAACCCAACATTAAATTAGACACATTTATAGTGCTGCACACATTTTTATTTTATGTGAACACAGCTAGTAATATAATCCAAGTCGTTTTCTTTTTTCCTTTTGCCTTATAAAGCACCACATTTGGAATTTCTTAATGCCAGATTCCATACATCCCTGTTACCACTTTCATAATGAAGACATTTTACTTTTAGAGTGACCACATTTTACACTCCAACTGTCTCAACAAACACTGGCCAAGCTGCAACATTACATCTGGAGGTATTACATTCCTCATATACAAGTCAAACACAGAAGACGCATACAGAATGGGAAAAAAAAGTTAAGTGCTTTGGGACATAATTGTGATTGGCAGGTTTGTGAGCAAATACAGTTTTGTTTTTATTCTTATACATAACTTCCTAGGTTTAGTTTTGTGTGCACTTCAATACTAGCCATTGAAACAATGGAATGGAGCTAACCAACAGGAAAAGATATGTTTATCTTCTTGACTATTGTAAATATGATTCAAGACAGAAATATTTGTCCAAGTCCCATCTTTGTGTTTCAGTCAAAGGAGAATGCCATGCTACTGAAGAGATGTGCAGGTGAATCAGTCTCAATCGCAAAACTGTACGATGTGGCATTGCCTTCAGATCACACTTCCTTATTTTCAATAACGTTTCCATCAGGGTTAATTAAGGCCTGCATAAGCCATTGTAAAGGGCTTGTGACACTCCCAAACTCTTCAGGTGTACGGTACCAGTAAAGCTGATTTAAGATATTTTCTTTTCTTTATAGTAGGCTACCTCTTTAAAGTTGCTCTGTAATGGCTTATGAATTCAAGGGGGTTGTTGAGCCAAAATTTCCCCGAGACTAGCTCACCTTTCTTCACTTATCTGAGCTTCACATGTATAGACTTTCCATTCTGCTTCAAATGAGATAAGGGGTTTGGTTGCTCAATGTGCAGGAGGCAACGTGGTGTAGCAGTAGATCCCGCTCGTCGTGTAGTGGAGTTTTCATCGCCTCCCCGTTGTCCCCGTGGTCCCTGCGGCGCTGCTGCGGTTGAGGTTGCGGCTGAGCTGGGGGAAGTGTACTGTGGGCGTTCGGGACGTGGGTCCGTAGAGGCCGAGGTTTCTGGCAGCTGCCGATTTCCTGGGCTGCTTCACCAGAGGGAACGGGGAGAAGACCTGCTGTTTGGGAGTGGAGGTCATGGAGGAGAGTGTCGGGGTTGATGGGGAGGAAGATATATTTGACCTTGATGAGGAAATGGAGCAGAGCGAGGGGGTGGAGGGTGAGCACGTCTTGTAAAAGGTGGAGGAAACGGGATGACCCAGAGCATACGAGCCGCTGGCCGATGAGGAGGATGACAGGCAAGCCGTTTGTGTTTGGGTGGATGTGACAGCAGTAGAGAATGATGACGATGGACCGGGGGAAGATGAAAAGGGAATCGGAGGGGGCGAGGAAGTGGGAGTTGAGGAATTGATGGAGGAGTTAGAGGAGTGGTGAGGGAGAGGTAGAGCAGTCACGGGAAAGTGGCCATCGGAGCCGGGGCCGTTTTCTGAGGCGGAGAGCTCGGACTCTTTGTGTCTGTTTGAAGACGGAGGTGGAGGGAGAAGAGGGACAGGGATCGCACGTTTAGACTCCGGCTTTGTTTCATTTTCCAGGGCGAGGGAGTCGAGCTGCACCATCACATCTTCGACCGTTGCCTCTTGAGTCGCGTCTGAACCCCCTTGAGCCTCTTCACAAACTGAATTTGAACCAGAGGTATTAGGAGACGGAGGTCCGGAGGAGTCGCTCTCCTCTTTGCGCTCATCCCCTCCTCTCTTATCCGTACTCTTGCTCTTGTCGTACTCTGAAAAGACGGATTCTGATTCCTCCTCGTCCTCATCCTCCCTTTCTTCGGAATCTTCAAAGCCGAGCTGCGCCCGAGCCCTGGCTATGTTCCGCCGGTGCTGTCGGACGTGAGCCCGCCAGGGAGAGCTGGAGCTGCCCAGCGACCCGGTGCTGTTGGAGAGCTGCGAGCCTCTGCGCTGCCTGGACGGGGACCCCTGACCGTGTGCCAGAAAAGAAGACTGGAACCCCGGTGGCGAGCAAGTGCTGGCGGACGGCGGCCTGTGGCGTGGCGTCCGGCCCAGGAGGAGATGGTTGATCACGGAACTGGAAGGATTGAGCTGCGAGGCCAAGACACGTGTGGCAGGACATTTGTCTGAAGAGAAAAAAGAGAGGCGAGCATGTGGACGTGAGTGCAGGGAAAAAGAAGCCCATAGCAGAAGTCTGGTTCCGGTAACAGTTAACCACCAGTGAATGTGCCTGTAGACTTAAAAAATGTATAAATTAGCAGTCAGCACCATTAGACACCAGAGGGCGCCGTGAGCTTGTCTTTTTTTTTTTCTTCTTTCTTTAAAATAATACTCCACTGAACCACAGTGTAAGGTCACGTTACATAATAGTGATATTAAAACAAAATCATCCCCTTCACTTGTGTTTTGGCCTTTTCCTAAATCAAAGCAAACCATTATGACAGAAACAAAAGCTGATTACAGTGCCTTGCCTTGCATGTTCGCCTCTGTGATGATTAGTGTGCAAACAGACGAGTGAGTACTTGCACAGATGTTGGCAGAGAAGCAAGGAAAACATCAAATCTCACTGTAATACCGTTACACAAGCCATGCGGATCATATCGCTGCGAGAGATTGGAGGGGAGCTGATCCAGATTTAGAGTCCAAAATCAACGGTTAGTAACAGCAGGAAACGTTATCACCAGGGGAAGAAAATGAGCAATTTGCTTAATTAAACACATTTGGAAACTTCTGTCACTGCAGATAATTTTGTTTTACAAAGAATTGCAGAAAATAAGCCCATTCTTTTGCCATGTAAATGACTGTCATTTCAATTTGAGAAATGTGTCCATCTATTTGACAGATCGGCTTTGTGAACCAATTAAAGACACCTGCAACGCCATCTGATCACAAAAGACCCTTGAAAAGCCCCAGAGCACTAGGTATCCTTGAGGTTTGACACTAGTACCGTCAGCGAGGTAGTTCTGTGTGTTGGGACCCTCCTGAAGAACCCCTGGACTTGTGGCCACTTCAGGTCCAGGTCCTATGAGTCACATAGCACCGTCAAACATCTGGATTTAGGAAAGTTTCCATTTGCGTGTAGTTTTCTTTCATTAGCTCTTATGAATGAGCCAAAGATTTCGCCTCAGAGTAGCTCACCGACCTTTGTAAGAATGAAGAAAACTGTACGATAGCTGTGCTTGTAAATTAGCCTCCCACCTGTGCGTATGTACAGCTGCATAGCCTGTTGCTGCTGCCGCCTCTTGATGCGCGTGTATTGCTTCTTCAGTGCGTAGATGTCAGTGCTCATTCTCTCCATCATCATGCTGTTGATGGCCGCCTGATGCTCGGCCTTGGCGACTCCTCCTCCGCCCGTTCCAGTGCCCACTGCGCCTGGGCTCAGCTCCGCCATGTTCCCCTGATCCGCTCTCTGGTCTAGATGGGGGAATACAAACCCTTAAAACCCTGATATTCATTCAACCGCTTTCTCATTTTGATTGGTTTCCAACAGTGCGTTTTATGGCAAAGAGATTAAACAGAGGAAACTAAGAGGTTCAAGTCGTTAAAGCCGCACTCGCAAAATGTGACGGGCTTCTTTAGGTCAAATAAAAGCTCCTTTTTCAGTCGATTCCTTCCTCACTTTTGGTTTGATCAAGATTGGCAAACTATTTAGGTTATTTAATGACAGCAAGGCAAAAAGTCTTGATTGAGGTCTAAAGAAGATAACTTCATCTAAGTAGATCTACATTTATAGTAAGTCGTGTCTACTCTTTTTTTGTATGAGTGGCATTGTTTTTAGACCCGAAAACACAAAAAAAGAAGTCCTTATCGACACGCAGATAAAATGCAGCTTAAATTACTGCACTACAATAGGTCGTCCATCATGCTGCAGAGACCAAATTGAACACAACTGCTTGATGCCATCCGTCACTTCTATGATTTACTAAAAATTATGCGCCTACAGAGTCCTATTTTATTCTAAATCGGGCCAAGTCAGTTGTGCTGAGATGTGCTATATCCTCTTTTTCCATATTGTGCCAAGTGTCTCTTCAGATCGGAGCCAGTGCTTTTAAACTAAATCCCTGAGGCTGTGAGGAGAGCAGCTTTCTCCTATTCGCGTGAGTCCCTGAAGGAGGAGGAAGCTGGGATTTGTTTGGAGGAGACAGATCAGAGACTGTTTGTACTTGGACCCGAATTTAGGGCAGAACACGGGGATTTGGGGCAGCAGATACTCCCCAGCGACTGGGCTACTGACTGCACACTCTCTGTGGTTTACTGCTTAAATCCTGTGTCTGTGTGTGTGTGTGTGTGTGTGTGTGTGTGTGTGTGTGTGTGTGTGTGTGTGTGTGTGTGTGTGTGTGTGTGTGTGTGTGTGTGTGTGTGCTGACCTTTGAGATGTTTCTGGTATCTCTGCAGCTCGGGAGCCAGTAGGCCGCCCAGAGGCCCCAGGCAACCCAGTGCCGTCACCACAGAGTCTTCATCGTCCATTTCTGCATCGTCGTCACTCTCCCAGCTGCCCAGACCACCGCTGAAATAAGGTTTAAATAATCATCAACAGCCCTGATAATAATATATGCACTCACTGGCCTGGATTTTGCAGTTTTATACCTCCAAGTAGTGCGTGGAGGATGAAAACTGCAATTTGTACAAAAGCAAGTGAAATAACACACATACAAACACAGAAACGTCAATCTTTAAGGGGACAAACCTTCCATTGGACTTCACTGAGGTAGGGAATGGAGTGATGTTGTAGGTGTATTTCTCTCTCAGCTCAGCCAGCTGGGGGAAGGGAAACACCGCCATGGAGTACACCTCCTAATCAAACAGAGAGGAGGAAGTCTGAGAGAGCTTATCTTTAACTGTATTGTTAGGGACTGAATGTGTGCCCTACTGTCCGGCACCTGCATGAGTTGAGTAGGATCGAGGAGGTTGTTCTCCAGCATCTCCTGAGTGAGGAAACCCATCGTGCTGTAAAAGTCATCTGCTGTCTGGCAATACTCGATCCTCCTAGATAGAGGCCAGCACACAGACCATTTTAGTTAAAAAACAATTCCAGATAATGTGATCAGATTAATCGCAAAGACTTGATTTATTCATGGTAAAAATCACAGTGCGTCAACCTGGTTCTATTCAGACATCAGATTATGTTTCCATACAATAAATATAAAACTTAACTTAGATTAAGAACTATATCTGCAATAGCAGCTCATACCTAACAAAAACATGGTGCTGGAGTAAATCACAAATTCGGTGGACAGAAATAGGCGGATATAGTGTTTTTTATGGAGCGTTTGAGCTGAATGAACAGGCTGTGTGATACAACAAAAAGCATAGCCTGTGTTGGGTGCAAAAATCCATTAAATAAATATAAAGGTCTTGTCCAGGACCAGCGTGTCAACATGAGGCCGTTTTTTCCTGAACAGTGCTGTTCACTGAGCCTCCTTCATGTAATTGCTAAAATGTGGTAAAAAAACGGCTAAAAACTAGAGGCGCACCAGTACACACACACAGATTATAAACAGACCGTCTGCAGCCAAGTTAAAACTGCCTGCTCTTACACGATCTACATCCACCTAACCAAACCCCAATGCAGTCCTCAAAAATACATTGTTGGGAAAGCCACATCTTTGAGGAAAACGAAGTGTTAGTGGGCTGCACTTTCTTTTAACCAAACACAGTTTTCCACATTTCCCTTTACTAATAGGAGTTAAAGCCATTATAACATACTCTCCCAATCTCTCCCAGATGGCGAGAGCGACCCGAAACAGCATCTCTGAGCCTTCAAAGAAAACAGAGTCCCAGATCTTCAGGACGTTGGGCCCCGGAAGGCAGGTGGCAAACATGGTCAAAAACCACTGCATAGTGAAAACGTTGGTAAGCGGAGGTTCATAGCTGCCTGAACAGAGAAACAAACAACATTCTTAAGTTATTAACCAGGCTAGTCCAACATAAATCCCCAAACTAATTATAGGGACAGGCTTAGTAGATTTTACACATACTGAGCAAATAAGACAATTTCAGCCATTACCATTCTGTGTTACATAAACTTCTGTCATATAGATAAACCCAGCAATCGAAGTGCACTAACAGTTTAATGTACCTCCAGCTTCTCGATTGGCTGCTTTCTGAAGGTGGTGGAGGTGCTGCGACAGTCTGGGCAGCTTTATGCGCAGCAGGTCTCTGAAGACAGCCATGTCCACTGGCACAGGGGATGACATTCCACATTACAAAAGGGGAATTCCAATCAATAGTGGACAAATATGAAGGCCAGAATCCCCTCTGTCAACATTTCTGTCAACACTTTCATCTCATTACACCTCCTTCATTGTTTTATTATTAACTCTGACCTCTATAAAGATCCACATTAAAATAATTAAACCGGTCAGTTTTTAGATGACATCCATATCCTAAAAAGTACACAGATATTCTATAGTCCGACCTCTGTGTGCTGCTGTTACAGCACGTAATGCATAGGTGTCTTTAACTTAGCTGGTATTGTCTCAATTGGGTAGTTTAAAATGCATAAAATTGGATTCAATTTTGTTTTTTTTTGTGTGTATGTGTGTGCTTACCTGACAATGCACGCAGGTTATTGGCAAAATAACTATCTGGCAGCACTTTGTCAATCAGATAGATCATCACCTGTAAGCAGGAGAAAGGAAAAAGACCGACGGCTTATTCTGCTTCTTTATCCCCAATTTAAAGAAATGGACAAATCTATTTAATCGACAGTTTATTTGGTTACTCTGTGTGCGTACCTTAAGTGCATCACTCTCATTCCCCTCTGTGACCTCCAATATCAGAGCAGCCAGCACGTTGAACCCCTGGCAGTAACCCACAGCTTTATTCCAGCGGGCGTATGCCAGCAGCACCCTCTTCAGCACCACCCTGTCTTGCTCCCCCTCCTGGCCACAGTAGGAGCTGCAGCCGGTTCGGTGCAGGTCCTACGGACACGAGAGGAATCGGATTATTTTATCGCAAGTTTGAGCTTGAAAGATAAGAAAAACAGAGAGAAGAAGAGGAGTGGACTTTGCACCGAAGAGGAGGAAATACTCCACTGAGTCATGCAGTGTTTCCATGACGCAGTCATCCTGTTCTGATGCCTGTTAGCAAACATCCTTGACCTTAAAGCGTTAAAAGAGCTTCTTGTAGGTAATTCGCAGGACTGGCCAAGGATAGTTTGTTTTTATATCCTATAGTTTGTTCTAGAACGGTGACCCACATTTGCTGTGAAGTCAGTTACACCGCTTCCTACCATCTTTTGCTTCTGTTTGCTTGAATTTGTTTCTGTTTAGTTAGCACCCATTGTCTGAAGACAAACAGATTTGGAAGTGTTCTAATCCTCTTCTTTTTCGTAATAGCTTGTCCTCTGTAAGTTTTTTTTGTTTGTTCACTTTGTCAGTGGAGCCTGACCACGGTAACAGTTTATTGCCTTATGCATCAGTAGTACTGACTCTCAATCTGCTGGCTGGTTTACTTTACGTGAAAATCGTTGCATTGTTGCCAATCTTGGTCTTTTTTGGGGTCGCGGGCTAGATTTTAGGCATTGGAAAGCCCAAAATTACCTACTTAAACCGTTTTACTTTGCACCAATAAACTTTTTATCATTGTTAAGTTATGTCAATTATAAAATGTTGATTTTTTTTTTTTTCTCTACAAGACATTGTTGTGAAAGCTAATCTATAAAAGTTTGACTTACATTGAGTTGTTTTAATGTTTTAATTAAATTGGTGTTAGTATTTTCTGAGCTTGAGTTGCAGAATTAATCTGGAACTGTAAGAGAGTGCAATACAACACATCTATCTCTTTACAGCAGAAGACTTTTTATAACTCCAAACACTATCTATAGAACGCTTAAAAAGGCAGTCCAGAGGTTCTGTTCATATTGATTAACAGTCTGAGCCAAGCTGGGGCAGCAGTATACTGGCTGAGGATACACAAAGGCTGAAGTATTCACCTTAACAGGCATTTGCCCAATCTCCCATCCCCTCAGCACAAAAACAGAGTCCGGTTACCTTGACGATTTGGATGCCGAGAGAGTCGTCGTCTGGGTTGCTGCGCTCATTAAAGGCAAAACGGAGAGTTTTCTCCCAGTCGATAGAGATGCTGTGCAGGTACTGGTCTGCTAGCGTCAGCCAAACCTGGAGAAAAAATTAAGACGACAGCTGCAGATTCACAAACATCCACACAACATTGATGCTGCGGGTTTTCGGTTAAGGAGCGATCTAAACAAACGCTATAACTTAAACTCTCTCTCATACATTCTCAGGTTGTTGTTTTTTTTTTCTTTTTAGCAGTTCTGGAACAGGCCTGCTGCTCATGGCTCTTAAGTCGAGTGCAAGTTCAAATTAAAAACACAACTTGTGCTACAAACAAATGGACCATACTTGTTGAATAAACTATGGTCCCTATGTTGACCAGTGAGATGTGCTGACCGACATGTCATCGGGATCATAAAGTGGGAACCTCCCTTTGTTAGTTTTTTGTCTTGTTGGGCCCACGACCCCTCCAGGAGGCTAGATAGTGATCAGTGGCATCTCAGAATCACTCCCCTAATGCCTGCCGTCATCACAACCAAGAAAAGTCAAAGTCAAAAAACTTCCCCAGCGGCACACAACCTCCACCAGTAAAAGCAGGTGGGGATGCAAACCCTGGTTCAGGAAGTTGGTACTAATAGAAGGGGTAAAGATGAAAGTAGGACGGAATCCAAACCCTGCTTTGGGTAGAAATTAAAAGTTTGATGGGTGCAGGAGGTGAAGGCAGGACAAGACACAGGAGCAGATTCAGGAAAACAGACCCATCCAAACAGCAGGCAGAACAGCTAAAACAACAACCAAACCCAATTAAAGGCCTGCTACAAACACAAGAGATCTTATTTGGTTGTTCATCTCCTGCTCATAGGTTGAAGGCAGTCACCTCCATATCCTCACTTCCGGGTCTCAAGAGAAACGTTTAATTGAAGATGAATGAAGAACTGTTGACAAAGCGATTCTGTGAATTGTGTCCCTTATGAACATAAGATGGATGACATCAACAAGGAAAACTTTGTTTTTCGTGTAATAGAACAGTTTGGCTCTTTGTGCTTATTAACTGTAGAGCGAGACACAGTGGACATAAATCACACGACAGCAACAATGACAAATTTCGCATACCCTTTTTCTCCATTCCTTTGGGATTCCAGTGGGAAGCCTTGCAACAGCTTTGAGGGCATCATACCACTAAAAAAAGAATGACAGATTTTAGTTGTTGTCCTCATCACCAATAAATACTAAGTTTACCCCTTAATGATCCGATAAATGACCCAACCAGTTCTTACATTTAAACCATGGTGACCTGCAGGGACTTGTTTTTTTCATCATGCAGCGAGCTTCATATCCATTTAAACTTAACGTATTTTTTCCTTTTTTTTTTTTTTTTAAACACACAGTGTAACATAAAATCTTCAGAAGCATCCGTAAACATGATAGTAACGACAGTCAGTTATAATAAAGGGTGATGGTTTAATTCTTCACATGATACATTTTCTAGAAAACTTTTGAGCTTTAAAAGCTTGTTTTTTAAAGAAGACTTAAAAGAATTACAGGCTAAAATTAATAGTTCCAATGTTTACAGAAAAATGTATGTTACTTTTAACAGAAACATGGAAAAACAATTCAAACAGACAGAACTCTGAGCATGAATGCTGTTTTTCTTTCCTTCAGTGCTTTTTATCCAATCCAGCCCGGACTATTATTTTAAACAAGAAACTCAAGAACATAAAGCTAGATCCCACAACCGCCTGGATTATGAACTCAAAGAGAAAGTGACTAGCCAAAGACTAGCTGTGAATTCCTCTGGACAACAAGTTGATCTGGAAATGTTACCCTAGTTCTGTCTTCAAGACAATAACAGATTATACCTTTAACTGGAGTTTAAGTCCCTCAATGTCGGCACTAAGATGTTTCATAGCTTATATACATTTGTTGTGGGTAGTGTGAGGATAAGAGCCAAAAGAACAGTTTTCCACAATAATGCATATTTCTCTGAAGGAAAACACATTGGTGTAAAAACTGAAACATTTCAGAGTGAGTGTAACTTTAAGTCTTTTGGAATTTCGAGAAGAAAATGGTGTGATGTTTAGCCAAATAACTGTATTTCTTTTTTCTTTTTTTTAATGTCTTTTAAAGGCAAATAAACTGGGCGGAATGTGGGGTGGAAGCCGCTTTAGGCATTAGGAGAGGAGCAACACAGGGAAATAAACAGAAGAGCTAGAACTTGGGCAGAAAAGTGCCTTGGTGCTGAACCAGACAGTGTAATGTCAGTTAACGTCCTCCTGAAAACATACTGCACAACTACAACAGCTAACTAACACACAGCGACGATGGTGCTCTCAGGATTCTGTAGGGAAACCAAACTAAAACTAACGATGCACTCACCTGCTGGAAGCCATTCTTCCCCAGGGAGGGCTCAATGGTAAACTTCAGCCTTGTGTCCACACCTTAGAAAACAAACAGAGGCCTCATCAGTTACCTGCAGGGACAACGACGCAGTTTCTAACTTTGCTGCTAAAAGATTGAATACGCTTGACAGAGAAACAATCTTGTTAAAATGTGTCAACTTTCCAAATAATAGTGGGTTTCTAACCTAAAACAATGTAATGACATAGCCCCTATATGTAAATATGTCCAAAGCAACGTAGAATTCCAGCTTCAGGATGATCTGAGAGCATCGCATCTGCTTTGTGAGTGTTTCAGTCAGTTATATTACAGCATTTCAAACCCTAAAACTACAAGCACAGGCTTTAAAGCTTGGCTTGGCACATCTGCTCTTTGCAGGTGAGCAGGTTTGGAGCAACGGGATAAGTCGCTGTCCATTTCCTTGTAGTGCTGAATCCGCGTTTAAAATATCCGCTCCAACGTCTATAAAAAAATCAGTTTCACACAAACTCCCGGGTTAAACTACTCCTAAGAACATTGAATCCCGCAAAAAATAAACCTCTCCGTCATCCGAGCGGAAATTAAATTTTGATCTGAAGTTAAGAGGGAAGGTCTCAGGGAGCGGCCATTTCTCTTCTAGTCTCTGCGTCCAGCTCAGAATCCGGAAAACAGCTGGTTCTTTACGATCCCTCTCAAAGCACCATTTTTTTTTCTTTCTCCATCAAAACCCGAAAGTAAGAATGGGTCCAACCTTGGTGCTCCTTTTCTTCCCTTTCCTGCTGCGCCATTCTGGACCAGCGCATCGTTTGGCTGTGCGGCTTCCTCTCGGGGGAGGATTAAAACTCCACAAACCCTCCTACTTCCCCGTTACGGATTAGTCCCCACGCAGCCGACTAGAAACGTGGGTTTGGTTTGGACTGGCGGCGGCCCCGCGGGTCCAGAAAGCAGGTTTTTTTTTGTTTTTATCCCAGTTATCCGAAGCAGAAACGCAAATAAGGGAAGCTTCCTCAGTTTAAAATTTAGGCTGCACAGACAGAGCTCCACTAAAAAGGACGTTCCCTCTGAACTGTGCGTGGTACAAAATGAATAAGCATCGCTTTATAAAGTATCAGGAGGTTTTGGGGGAATACAAAGCTGATAGATGCTGATCAAGAACTCCCTTTTTTCCTTAGATGGGGAACATTTAGTTTACTATTGATTGCAGCAGGCCTGGTAAAGTGAAGGAATAAAGCAATTAAATCATTAAATGGCCTGGCCACAATTCTTTGACGGTTTATAAACAGCACACTGAGACATAATAAGTAAAATAGTCTATCATAAATAAGAGCAAGGCAGTTTGAGGAAATATGGATTTAAAGGCAAAGTTAGGTAAATAGGATACTGCACACGATCGTATTAATCTAAGTCTGTTTTCAGAGTGATGTGGCTGAGATGAGTTTTTTTTTTTCCCTGTGGGTGGACCACCTGGCTCCAGGGTGCAGAGCAGCCGGGGGGCGCTCCTGGAGATCCCGTTGCGCTTCTTCAGGACGTTGCTGATGATGTTGCCGACCCCTCCCGAGCCCTGCGCCCGCTGCCGGAGGCTGGCCCTCGGCCTCCTGCCGGCGGCGGCCGGCCGCTCCTGCCTCATCCCGGAACCCGAGCCGCCCCCACCGCCCCCGCCCCCCGCCCTCCGCTCCACCGGGACGATCACCTCATGGCTTCCCCCCGCGTTCCAAAAAATTATTCCTTCGCGTCGTCGACTAACGACGGGGCTGCTCCCCCCCCCGAGACGTTCAAATCTCAATCGATCAAGCCGATGTCTCCATCTCTTCCGGTTTGTCCTTCCGTTTCCAATTCATGCCCGATGACGAATTAGACTTTGTCATCCACCTTAGCATCCGACATTATTATTAGAAAAACTAAAAAAAAGCTAAACAAAATCCCCAATCGAGTCAAGGAGGAGGAAGACGGAAGGGCTCTTGCTGTCAGGGGCAGAGCAGCTCTCACTGCCTCCTCCTCATCCTCCTCATCCTCCTCCGGCTGCAGCGTCACCGGGAGGAGGTGCAAGGAGGGGGGGGGGGATGCGGTAGGATGGAGAGCATTTAAAGGGATGAGGTAATGGTGGAGAAGAGGAGAAGGGGCATAAAAAGAGGCTGTGGGTGGTTAGTTTGTTCTCTGCACACAGCTGGAGGTGGCATTCAGGAGGTGTCAGTATCACTAATAACTAATTAACTTAATCTCTCATTACAGTGAATTAAATAAATGACTGATTGTAGACAAAGGGTTGGTGTTTTTAGCCTTTCGTTGCAGTAATTCAGCCCTATTCATTCAATAAGAGACTTGTTTTTGAATAAAAATACATTTTTGGGGTTCTGGAGCCAACATGAAAATAAGTGTAACTGTATTTTTATAGTTTTTCATTGCAAATTAGAAGAAATCCAATTCATGGAATGAGTAAAAAAAACATGACTGCCTGTCAATCATCAGCAATGTCATGAAAAAAATGTAAGTTTGCGCCTTGCAAATGCACAGCCATACAACTTCACTTGGTGGGATGAAACGGTGAGCTGCTTCTCAGCAAGCTTCTCAACGAGTTACCATTTTAAAAGGTATCCATTTTTTTCTGGAGTTACATGTTGTAATTAGGTAATTTCAAGAGACGCATTTAACAACAATGACATTTTAAAGAAGGGCAAACTTTGGATACAGTCTCTTTAATCCAGTTTTAGTGGAAAGAAATGTGACTCCTCTTGGACCCCTTCATGCCCAGCATTGAGGAATCACTCAGGAAATTCCTCAAACACTGTTAAAACATGGAGATCCCTCCACAAAATGTCATGAGCAGTTTGAGACATTGTTGCGTGATAAACACTAAACCTTTGAATTGGTTCCTGCCATGAAAATCTTCCCTACTTTTGGACTGTAAGCTGCAGGGGACAGTCGGTGTTTAATCACTGTTACTCAGAAAAGATAAGGAAAAAAAATAAATTAAACTTTTTTTTTTTTTTTAAAGACAATATCCATAAGTAGAAAAAAACAAAAACAAATCTACCCTGATTACTTTTACCAGGCTGATCCCTGGTCTGCCCTCCAACAGGCTCCAAAAGTGAATGCGCTATAATGGGAAAAAAAATAAGGCTAGCTCCTTTTTAGAGATGTGATGGCCAGAAGGAAATTAAATATTGCATAAAAAAGCCTAATGCCTGCCAGTAACCATGGGATGAGTAAGAGTCATGTCCACAAACAGCTCTAAATTTCAGTCTGACTTCCTTTCTATTGCCAAAATTAATCAATATATTCTGAGATAATGGAAATTAGTATCCTTCCTCTATGCGTGTAAAGCAGAGGGAGTGAAGTGAAAGACAGTTTGGAACTGACACTGGCAATCGAGGGCAGAATATCTACTTAGGTATTTTTTACCTACGTTCATTATGGTTTAATTTCAGCTCCTTATTGAACTTCTAAGACATTTCACCTGTTCTCTGAGACACGTTTCTGTACGTTCATTACACAGGGATGTTAAAAACTATGCATTCAGAAGTTGAGAAGTAATTCCCAAAGCCTGGAGATAAGTCCCATATGCTCCAAGCTCTTTATATGCAGAATCAAGAGCGAGGCACTTCATCTTTATTTACTGTAAACAACACTTTAAGAAGAGGATTAGGTTGATAATGTTTCAGCTTAAAAAAAAAAGTTAAATCTTTACTCATGTGAATGAAAAGATCAGCTGGCAGTTTATAGAAGATATGAAAAAAAAGCATTCTACTCCCCCTACAGTGCATAAATATAAATATTTTCACACTAAATGTGATCAAAGTTTGAAGACGATGGTGTGGTGGCAGATCATCACGTTAGATGTTTATCCATGCAGAGCTTCATTTTTACAGAGGATTTCTCACAGAACACTCTCAGAAAAGAAAGCGTTTAATTGAGAATTTAGGAGTCGACACTGGGGTGGAATCTTCAAACATCCTGCTGTTGTACCTTCATAGTTTGTCTATTTGCTACTTGAGAACATTAGTGTACATTTCAGGACCTCACAAAGTACAAATGTACACTTTAATTGTTAGCCATAGGGTATTTGAGTTGTTAAAGGACCTCAGGAGACATGAAGCCACTCCTATTGTGACCCCATTTTGTTTTTACAGTGCAGGGTGTTCCAAACTACACTATCTTTATATACATAAAAACATATATATCAAATATATTATATACACACACACGCATATATATATATAAAAATAAATGGGAAAATTAGTCTTACGTCGCTTTTGTGAGACAGCCTGAAGGCACGCCGTCACAATGTCGTAGTTCTTCTGCAGTTTGTGATGAAGCCGGTCCCGTCTCCGCAGCTGCCGGATCAGCTTGGCCGACTGGAGGCCCGTACGATACTTCACCTCCTGGATTATTGAACACAGCTCTTCTGGGGCTGAAACGGCAAGCATTTTTCATCAAGAACTGCAACAGTAACTGAGTTTAATCAGGTTAAGTTGATTTTTTTTTAAACTTTTGACTCTGCTTTCTCCTCTTGGAAATATCACAAAAAGGCTCAAAAATCAAACAGTTGTGTAAACTTTATTCAGAAATATTCCATAAGTGTGCTCATAAAGATGTACTACATAATGCTCCACTTTTTGACCTGCCCGCCCTGAACAGAAGTTTTTGTCCCAAATTAGTGTTGACTAAATTTGACATGCAGATGAAGTCTGCTCTCTTCAGATAAACCAGAATATCCCTCTCATTAGTCCGTTTTCCATGCTGCAGGCAAACAGGAAATGAAAACCAGAGCAGTTGATCCACATAAACACAAGTGACACAGAGCTAAGTCACAATGAGAACTCCGGAACAGCCGTCATCAATGTTTTGTTGTTATCCTGGAGAACAAACTAAACTTAAGGGTCCTGGAAACAGGTGGGAACATTTGTTTGTCTTTGACTGACTTATAGAACAAACTATTAAAACATTTAAGCATAGGGGCATGGACCTAAACACCTTTTTATGGCTAAAAGGTTGCATAGAGGGGGGAGAAATGGGGGGGGCGTCAAACCAGGAGAAACTGAATCACAATGTTAAAGAATGAGAATTAAAATAAACCCATTAACAGAAGAAGAAGTAGAGTATAATGAATAATTTGTTGTTAAAGCCATACATTCTAAGCTAATTATGAATACAATGCATTTGCTTCACATCAGTTTAAAAAAAGTTGACAATCCATTTTGAGTAAATGATTCTCTGTAGAATCAGATTATAAAAGGTCACTTATGAACTCCAGTCAATTAGTTTTAACTTAGCAGTTAATCAGTCACAATATTAATAAGAATATATATCTATTTGCAAACAGTGGACAGATGCCCTTATCAAAAATGTGTGATGCAGTCAAAGAAATGCTTTTTTTTTTTTTAAGTATGATCCTAAAATACCCCAAATTCTCAGCTTCCCTTTCTCCGGTTACATTTTTGTTTACCTTCAATTTTTTCCAATTTTAAAAAGTCCACTTTCAATACTTTCTCATAGAACTAATAGCTGGTGTTTTGCTTTTTTTAAAATGATTTTTTTTATATATTCTTGATTTTTTTTTTAAGCAGGGCAACATCCACCACTCAACTGGAACCAAATGTGTTAGAAAATACTTAAGGTTTGGCTGGTCGTTCGGATATTATCAGAACATTTCCTCTTCCTGAACGGCAGTCCTCTTGCATTCTTTAACTCCGCCGAGCCTTTTCACGTGTCAAAAGGCCTGGCTGCGTTTACTTTAGGATTCCACTGTGAGAGGGGTAACAATGGCAGCGTGGCACTAACAACAACATGCCGGTCGAGGCTCCGGGGCAACTCTGCAAAATGAGCCGTCAACACGCTGATCTTCAGTCTCTATTGTCAAAAATACACCTCAATATTTTGTTAAATTACAGGAAACCTAAGAAGACAAACTGCAAAATAGTAGAAGCCGATTTTTTTTCCTTAGCCCCAGTCTTTTCAAATGCCAACCATAATCTGGTGCTGTTCAAGGTAATTTTATCATAAAAACATAGCTTTTCAAGTGCCAATCTTTTAAGTGCACAATGTCAAACAAATGTAAACCTTTGTTGTTTTTAGGTTTCCTATAAGTCTTTGAACTTATATTATCATGTATGCTCCTGTGTGGATGAGACTTGGAGAAACCGGTGTGATATGTTACCTCTAATATTAGACTTATTTACAAGAGTGATAACATTTTGGATTCCTCTAATCAGATAGACTGGAAGCCTCTGCAGCAAGATGTTGAGTGGCACCACCTACCTGGAGAACAGCATTCCAAAGTATTGCCTTTTAAAGTGGCAGCTCTTGTTGACTTGGTATGGATATTGGTTGGTTTACTAATCATGTGACTAACCGCTCAGGTAACACAACAATAAACTTCATAAACTCCTTTTGTGGTGTGTGTATTCTGACATTCTCTTGTGCAGTGACATCCTTTGACCAATATGTGTCTCTTAAAAAAACAACATCTGTCCTTAAGTAAAGAAAACACAAGCAGCCCTCACCTTTCTGAGCCAGGTAGTTCATTTGGTGTCTCCTGGTGTGCTTCTCTTGCAGCTCTTGGAGAAAACTGGACCCGGAGGTACTCCGGCCCAGGAAGGCGTCTGATCCGGACGCCTCTGTGGAGCTGTCCCAGCTGTCCACGTTCCTCCTGCTGCCCCCGCTGTACGTCTCATAAAGTTCCACCAGCAGGCAGTCCACGATGGAAGTCCTCAGTTTGACTCCATCCCCGAGGGATTCAGAGTCACTGTCACCGGCCGTTTCGGTCCTTTGGGCGGCAGTAACGGTGCCAGGCGGGGCTGCTCCCTCGCTGGGGATCTCCTGCTCTCCCGGAGATGATGATGTGTCATTCGGTGACTCGGCCGGGAAAGTCCACTGGTGAAAGCCGGAAAAATCATCTTGCAGGGAAGCGGCAGAGTTGACAAACACACCGCTTTCGTCTTCGGAACACGCGCCACCGTCGCATATGTCAACCTCCAGAAGTTCACTCATGTTTTAACGCCAGCTTCAACGCCACTTTTCTATGAAAATGCCTATTTTTACCAATCTGGAGTTGTTTTTTTGACACGTGCGAGTTGTCAATTGTCTCTCCACAAGGAAGGTGAAGTTGAAAAGTTTTCTCTGAGCATTTCGAAGTGTACGGTCTTCCTGGAGCGCTCCATTCCTCGCCTCCGAAAGGTGGAGACTAGTCCGACCACTTCTAATTGTCTTCCTCGATATTCCGGAGTCAAATTTTCTGCACCCCCGCCCCCGGAAAGGACAATGGGCCAGCCCACTTGAACTTCTTAACGCCTGGGAAACTTTCCTCAGGTCGCGCGACAGGTGCAACAGGCGTCTCGGGCTGCCGCATTGACCAATCAGAAAGCAACCAAAAATGAAATAAACCAATCCGCTTCTTTTCTGAAGCAGCGCTCTTGAATAAAACTTTGACATATATATATATATATATATTTATTTTTTTTAAACTGAACGATTGATGGTCAAGCTCATACACGGTTTATTTGTAATTTCATTATTGAAACGTTATTGTTCATCCTTTGCATGTCAGAAATAGACCGAGAAAGCGCGCAAAACGTCTTTAAACTTTGACTGTTCTAAGAAAAAAAATTACAGAAAATTCCATAAACTTATAATCAGGTAAAGGAACTTAGATTTTGTTTCATGTTAAATTTGAACTATACTGTAATTTGTTTTAATGACATGTACGTGCACTGGGTTTAAAGAGTAGAGCATCTTGCTTCCTATGAGCACACACATACATGTACACTTACAGTCTTCTTACAGACAGGGTTGATCAAAGGAATGTGACTAGAAATTGCCAGGTTTATCATCCAAAGCCATACAATTCCAGAAGAGTCTTCTATTTAAAATAGACTACAATAGGGCACTCAGATAAGGCAAATCAGCTCAATGCATTCTAGTTTATACAGTGCCAATGTAAAACAGTAGCCTGGAACAAGTAACCAACACATTTCACAATTAACCTCACTTTCTAAACACAAAAATATATTGGAATAAAAAACTATGTTAAGCTGTGTTTGTAATACAGATATGATCTATAAGAGAATGATGAATTATTAGTAAAAACAAGTAAATGTCGATTCTTAAGATTTGATTAGAGGGTTGTGAGCAGCTGTTACTCACTCGTTTTCAAATCAGCTGATTAGGGCTTCCGTAGAGGAGTATGATCACGTGACGTCTAAACCGGGAAGTGTTTTTCACAAAGTAACAAGGCCAAGCTTGTTCTCTGTCCCGTCTGCGCCGCATAATTGTGTTTCACGCTGATTTAGGGACGGATCAGCCGACGGAGACAGACAGCTGCATTGGTTTTTAGTTGAATTAGGAAAAATGCAGATAAATGGCTGTTCTCGGCTGCTGTTATTCAATTGTCTTCTTATCTGCGTCACTTTGTGGAGCGAACCGAGCAGCGGGTTGTTTTCCAAATCAAACCGAAGACCCAATATTGTTTTGATCCTCACAGACGACTTGGATATCGCTATCGGGGGGCTGGTCAGTGACACTTTTTACCTTTAACTGTGATAAGTGGTTGATTTGTCTTAAATACTTAATACGTCGCAGCATGTTTCGTCTTTAAGGTCTGTTGAAGGCTAAAAATATGGGAAAAAATATGCAATGACTGCGTTCCGACTGGATTTGGTCTAGTTTGGTAAAGCTGACAGTTCACATTCCTGATTGGATGCATCACTTAGGTATCTCATAGAGTCAGCAGGTTTATCATTTCCTGTCTACTCCCACTGGTTTTATGTAAACACAGCCCCTCCTTCAGATATATTTATCAAATGACAGTAAAGATTCTAATTTAGATTACCTACATAGTTGACACTGCAGTGCAGAACAGTTTAGAGTTGTTTGAAAGTGACCTAATTACATTCTAGTGTTTTAAAAAAGAGAGATGTATCAGAAATGTAACGTCCTTTGTGTCTGTGGGCTGCGTTTATGGAGTTATTTTGTTTGACTCTTGTTTTCCAACCTTTTAGAAGTAACATTGTTTATGTAGAGTGCAAAAAATTGGACTAATTTCTCATTTTCAATTCATATTGTGTGCTTACAAGTACTTCACTGTTAGGGAAATACCAAAATAATGTTTAATTTAACATGTATTAATAGTATTATTTCAAAATGTCTTGTTTGTATGGTGTTTTTCCTTTTATTTATTTCTGATTATTATGTGTTAATAGTTAAACTGAACTGTAAAGATGGCCATGGTCAATGGTCTGATTTTAACTGAAGCATTTTTATTTATTTTATTAATTTCTAAGCTAAAATAAATCAGTTTATGGTTAAAAATATCTTTATTGGGTATGAAACTTCTGAGCAGTTTTGGGTTAAATCATTTAATATTCTCCTGAATGGTACTTGCACTCCAAATAATACTTTAAATGGAAAAGAACGTTTAAAACACAGCACGTTTGAATTTCTTTCAGAATCCACTGAGTAAAACAAAAAAACTCATCGGGGATGCAGGGATATCCTTCACCAACGCGGTAAGTAGCGTCTCATCGGGAGCTGGGCCAGCTTCCCGCCGACGGTGCCCTGACCTTTCCCCTCTGATTGGTAGTTCGTTGCCAGCCCGCTGTGCTGCCCGAGCCGGGCCAGCATCCTGACGGGGAAGTACCCCCACAACCACCACGTCATCAACAACACCTTGGAGGGTAACTGCAGCAGCACGGCCTGGCAGAAGAGCGAGGAGGCCCACACCTTCCCCGCCTTACTGAAGACCTACAGCGGGTACCAGACCTTCTTTGCCGGGAAGTATCTCAACCAGGTGAGAATCGGCCCGCCGTTCTATCAGTAGCCCTTTAAACTAGCCCGCGTTTTTCCTTTGCTGCTGCTATCTGAAGATTGACGGGCCTTCAAATAGCTGCTAATTGCACATCAAAGCTGATTCACTTCCTGCTTTGAAATCTCAATTTCTCCCTTTTCATCATGATCATCATGATCCTAGCCTTCCAAAGTCCGCATCAAAGGGAGTTATTTTCTTGCTATTCTGAGCGCCTTTGTTGTCTTGGGAAAAATGCCCCTCTGTTGGCGTGTTTGGTGTGCCTCGCTCTAAGAATAGTCAGAGCCGTCTTGGCCTTTTTGGCGGGTTGGCCTTAAAGAGAAAACAGGGATGCTCACGCGCCAGAATCATGGCGTTAGAATGAGCAGCAGCAATGTATAGTTCTTTTTCGAAGATTTAAACATGATAACTTGTAGCAAACGAGTCCACAGAGGATTTTAGGCAAGTGTCTTTGAGTGACGAGATTCCACTGCTTTTTCCTGGTTTCGAAAAATGTTCCGTCAATTGACTTTAGAGTCCCGTGTTAAGATTCTGTCCACTTTTTTCTGTAGTGGTAGCTTTGGAGACTTTGAACTCCTCCTGACCTTTCAATTTGAAACTTTGAGCATGTAATGTAGTGTTTAAAACAAATAGTTTTTTTCCAAAAGGGTGGGCTGGATGGAGGAAGACATGGAACATATTAGGCAGTTTTGCTGCCATTAAAGATCAAATTACATAATTAAACTAAACAAATAAATTAACTACCTGTCTCATAATAACCAGCCAGTGGTTAGAATGTTTATATATCAAATGTGATAATCAGTAACCAAAACAATTCCTTACTGTAGCCCATATTTCTTTCCATTCAACACTTCCTTTGGATCCGTTTCTGTGTTGAACAGCGTTTCATTCATAACTCAAAAACTAATTATGATTGTGCATGTACAGCGTGAGTCAAAAGTCATAGGACAGTCGTTCATTTCCGACACAAAAGGGAAACCGACATATCTGAATACCAAAGCAAGCAACTGGTGAGGGGATCTAGCTTTTAGGCTATGTCCGGAACATGGCCGCCATCTTGAAAGCCGCCATATTGTATCAAGGGCAGGTTTCTCCAGTGGGAACGTGTTCATGTAGCGCATCAAAGAAGGACCAGAATTGTCTCATGTCTCATTGTTTGCTGTAATCGGATTGGGCCTTTTGTGGTTCAGAGGTTGTCCACATAGAAAGTTCAAACAACAGCTGGAATCGTAGCCTTTGCCTTTTCTACGGTGAATCTCTACATTAACATATTTTCCCTCTTGGTCTTAGTCATATGCCACTAAAATATTTCTGTCGGACCGTTTTTATCTTCCAGTATGGACACTCTGATGCTGGCGGTGTGGAGCACGTCCCACCAGGCTGGAACTACTGGGTGGCGTTGGTAAGTGTTTATATTCAGTGTTTAAACCGAAAATTTATGTGGGGTTGATAAAAGGCTCCGCAGGGACTAAATGAATAGTTTAATTCCATTGTTTCCCCATATGTGCGTGTGGAGCACCGAACCTGCTACAATGTTTGGAGGTCTTTATTCTCCACTAAGAATTGTTTTAGTGTTACAGACGCCGGTTTAGAGGCACAGGCTGCATCGGTGCCGAGGGGTTAATCTACTTAAACTTGGGAATGAGATTAGATGAAACTCTGGAAAGCTGACCTTTTTGCTCAAAGGAGGTAACGCAGTTAACGGCACTAATCCGCTCCAGTTGGATTGATTTGATATGAAACCAATAAGCAAGTTCTTTTTTGTTTTTGTTTTTTTGTCTCAAACTCCCATATAACTCCCTGTAACTAGAAGCTCTGCGCTTGATCACAAATAGAGTAAAGTTAGATTGTCCTTATTTTTTCACAGAATGCCTCCGATTGGCTAACAGAAATTATCTTCAAATAAACTGTGCTTCGAAGGAGCCTTTTTAAAAACCCAATGGAGGCAGGTGCTCTGAAACGTCTTAGATCGTGTGTGAAGTCACATGTCTGCACCAGAATCCAAAATGAGCACCTTTTGAAATGGGTTACTTGGGTTTAGACCTATGAATAGGTGATGTGTAGAAAAAAATCATATCATAATTCTGTTATGGCAACAAGAACATGATAGAAATCAGTTTGATTTAATTGTTACTGTTTATATTGTAGCACATTTTTATTTTCTGTTTTTACTGAGTTTCAAACTTGCCTTCACGAAAAAAAAAAATTCAACATGATTATTTTAGTTGTTATTTTGTTAATATACCACTGTAATTGTCTTGATAATCAGAACAGAGATTCTTTTTCGGTTTTCGTTTTGGTCCTTATGGTTTTTCTCTTAAAGCATTCTTTCAGCATCAGATTGTTTAATTTAGGACGTTTACTTCAAGCCAAGACCATCATTTTGGGAAACCTTGGCCTCATAATGTTGTAAAAAAGTCTTGGTTTAAGACTTCTCTACCTTACTTCTCTTGGATAGTTCAGCTTTATTGTACAGAATGATAAGAGGGTTTCTTTCCGGCCTGGGAAACATTCTTGGTCTAATTCTGTCTGAATAATAAGGAGCTTTGCATCTTTGAATATTTAAGGAATTTTAGCTTTGTGCTATACCTAAATAATACGGAGCTCAAACATTTCTTATAATATTTTATTAGGGATTTCCCAAATAATGGGATTTATTATAGTTTTAAAGGACATAAAGGTACTTTTGGTTGTTATCAGACGCATTCTGACGTCGGTCTTTGCTCTGATGGCTTCAACGTGATGTCTGCTTTTCAGGAGAAAAACTCTAAATACTACAACTACACTCTGTCAGTGAACGGAAAAGCTCAGAAACACGGAGCAGACTACAACAAGGACTACCTGACCGACGTACTGGTGAGGCATCTGACCACCGAACGCCTCCAGGCGGGAGATAGAAAAGAAAAACGCTTAAGCGTATGTCATTGATCTCAGGCTTAACATTGCGTTTCGCTCCCTCTCCCTCAGGCCAACACGTCTCTGGAATTCCTTCAGTTTAAATCCAGCTACCAGCCGTTCTTCATGATGGTGTCCACGCCGGCCCCTCACTCCCCCTGGACCGCAGCCCCCCAGTACCAGAGCCGCTTCAACACCACCAAGGCTCCCAGGGACCCCAACTTCAACATCCACGGGAAGGTGGGTCTTTTGGAATCGGGTTTTTTCGTCCTCCGGCTGGACAGCGACAACTCAAGTCATGGGATTACTTCTTCTTCTTCTTTTTGTGTTCAGGACAAACACTGGTTGATCAGACAGGCCAAAACTCCCATGACCAACTCCTCCGTTCAGTTTCTCGATGAAGCCTTCAGGAAAAGGTTTTTCGGAAATCGCTTATTCAGCTTCTCTCCTCCTATTTCCATCTTCTGTTCTATTTTTTTTAATGTGTCAATTTTTTTCCACATTCATTGTCTCTCGTTCTGTCCTGCAGGTGGCAAACTTTGCTGTCAGTGGACGACCTGGTGGAGAAAATAGTGAAGAGGCTGGAGGTCCGAGGCGAGCTGGACAACACGTACATCTTCTTTACATCTGATAATGGGTACCACACAGGTATGGGGGTGTAATGAGCCTGTAATGAGCGCCTTTTCCTCACACATTGAGCCAACGTGATGCCTCTCGCTCTCTCTCTCCCTCAGGTCAGTTCTCTCTGCCGCTGGACAAAAGGCAGCTGTATGAGTTTGACATCAGAGTCCCTCTCATGGTCAGAGGGCCAAATATCAAACCCAACCAGACCAGCTCGGTATGTACAAACACAAAATGCTTTTAATCGCTCAGTAAGAATATATTTTGTATCTCTAATCTACGAAGGCATTTTCCCCAACCCCGGCCTTTGAGGCTCGCAGCCCTGCATGTTTTCCATGTTTCTTTTCTCCATATGTGCTGTGTTATTTAGCTTATTTTGCTTGTTATTGCCTTCACAATCACAAGATAACCACTCTTCAAAGAGAATGTGTTTTTTTAATGTTATTGGCTATACTGCATCAAGTGGGCTGCAAAGTTATTCTGGCTCGGCTGCCCCCCTCCCACACAGCATCTCCTGAACTAAATTGAACTGAATGCATGATGTCACCAGATGCTGGTTGCAAACGTGGACCTTGGCCCGACCATCCTGGACATCGCCGGCTACAACGTCAGCAAGACCCAAATGGACGGCATGTCCTTCCTGTCTGTGATGGTGAGAACTCTTATATCTGCACATTTATGCTGATCCTGTGTTTATTTGAATAGTTTCATACTAAAATCAGATATAAATTGAAGTCCCAGTTCTTTCTATATGACAGGATTATGTTTTTTTTATCCATTCAATTTAGGCTAAATAGCAAATGATGGTTGAATTTGCAGCTAATTTAGTTGGATTTGAAGGAACGGGGATCCATGTTGTCCTCATGCCGGTCACAGCACAGATTATATTCCACAAAATTTACCCGTTACCTTTAAATTCGGCATCACACAACGAGCTGGATGACGCCGATCATTTAAATTGGGAATCTATGTCATAAGGGAATCGGTAAGGTTAAAGCTTGTGTTTCCGACGCCAGGAGGGAAAGACGAACAGCAGCAGTTGGAGGACGGACATCCTGGTGGAGTACGAGGGCGAGGGCAGCAACGTGTCGGACCCCGCCTGCCCGCTGCTGGGACCGGGAGTGTCGGTACGAGAAAGACAATGAAGAAAAACCCAGTTCAACTAAGATAACGCCATCTCTTTTAAAGTCACATCTGTAAAGCTAAGAGGAAAAAAACAAACTGTTTTCTTTAGGAGTGTTTCCCTGACTGTGTGTGTGAGGACTCCTACAACAACACTTACGCCTGCGTGCGCACCGTCGCCCCCTCTGCCAACCTCCAGTACTGCGAGTTCGACGACAACGAAGTACGGGGGAGTCACTCTCACGCTCTGATGCGGTCACGGCGAGTGGCGGCGTCCTAGTGAACCTGGTGAACATGGTGGATTTGCCTCTCCTCCAGGTGTTCGTGGAAGTCTACAACGTGACGGCAGACCCCTTCCAGCTGACCAACATCGCAAAAACCATCGACCAGGAAGTCCTGGAGAAGATGAACCACCGGCTGATGATGCTGCAGTCCTGCTCGGGTCAGTCCTGCCGGACGCCCGGCGTGTACGATCCAAAGTGAGTTTTGTTTATTTATTTATTTTTTATAACAAGGTTCTCAAGTTTCATCCCAAAACCCAAAAGAGCGATTACATCCCGAACCGGGGTTCACAGCCCTACTACGCTGTTAGCAGTTCAGTTTTAGAGCGGCGGGGGATCGGAGGGCTGTTAGTAGACGGTTTAGTCGTTGTTGTGACGTGAGGGGCAGTGATAGCTGGCATTGGAGGTTTCGTGGGACCAAACTAGACAAACCACTGGTGAAAGTTCCCGCCTCATGAGCCCAAAGACAGAAAGTTGTCACGGCTTACTTTACAGATCAGGAGGTTTTTCATTACGTATTAGAATTTAATTTTTTTTAGGCATTCACTTTTTGTGCAATTATCCACTGAGTCTGGTCCATTTTTTTGTAGCATTAATTTCTTGTTTACTTTGAAAAGTAATCATTGTTTAAAGTGGATTATTAAGTAATTCTTAGACTGACTACATTTGGTTTTAAATTCTGATTATTCCTTCATTGAATAATCATATTAATCGGTTATTTTTCTGTATTATTTTAGTCGGTTATTGGTGGGAAATCATGTTATTTAAAATCATGCTAAAATCTTTCCATCCCTTGTCTATGAAGCTTATCTGTAGTAGGGTCATGGAGGGTTGAAGCCCATCTCAGCTATAATTGGACCAGAGGCGGGTCAAAACCAGGACAGGTCACCAGTGGAATAAAATCCACTGAAAAAATCAAAACGGTCTATTCTTTTAACCGTGGAAATGCTATTCGTCAGTAATCAGTTCTAACGCTCGTTCACTTGCACAAGCGGGCCTCATCTTTCCCGCTTCCCTCCCCAGGTATAAATTTGACCCTCGGCAGCTGTTCCCCAGCCACAGCTGGAGGCTGAACAGACTCAGACAGACGATGAAATGAGAAGAACGAATGAGGGAAAAGAAGAAGACGGAGGGAGCAGTTGATTGGAGGAGGGCTGTATTGTGTTGTGTTTTCCAGCCCTCCCTGCTGTTGTTGCCTTGTTTTTTTTAGCCTCCTGAGCCAAGCCAGTCTCTTTCATAGGCGGATAGAGAAGGGATCACCCGTTTGGGGGAATAGACGGGTCACTGTGGAGACGGGAGGCGTCTCTGGATGCAGGATCCACTGTCACACTTCCTGTTATGGCCTCTGTCAAATGAGTTTGTTTATATATGTGAACGTAAAAGCCAGATTGACAACCGTTGTACAATAGCAAGCCAGGATTGGAATCCTGTTTAGTCATCAGTGTTTCTTTTTGCACATCAGCTCATTCAGTCATATCCATTTCGAATCCGTTTTTCCTGCTTGTCCAAATATCCAGAATTTGACTCATGCCCGGCACATTATAATGGTCAACAGTAATTTGGCATCCCTGTCAAATCCATGGGGAAATGTATTTTTTCCTACAGGTAAATGCACATATTTATGAAAGAGTGAATTGCAGATGATTTTTCTAAAGAGTTTTAAAAGAATAAATCCTAATCATTCAAGTAAATTAGAGAGTTGATTTCCCATCTGTGACACCTTTCACATGTACCTGGTTACTAGTTAACAAACGCAGGGCTGTGTAGGCCTGACTTCATATTGTGTGACATTTTTCCAACAGAGTGAGAGTAGAGAGCCGCAATATCTGGAGTGATAGACGAGGAACAGGAAAAAAAAAAAAAAAAGATGATCAGTACATAAGAAGTATAATCACATCTAGTCCCACATGCTCCGAAGTGGATTATTTGACTCTTCAGAAGTAGCGCCGTTGATGCCCCACCTCCATAGAAAATGTCACCTAACATAAAGAGACTTTTCTCATAAGGTTAGATTCAAAATGCATTTTAACTATGATTTGGTCCAAACCTGATAAATGAGAAGAACACCTAAATTTAAGGGGCTTTTTTCTAATTTTTTGGTCTAGACTCCAAATCTCCACAGTTCATAAAATTCAGCTGGTTAGTCTGAACATGTTAATGGATCCAACAGGACTTTAAGTCAGGCGATGCGGGTCCTGGTGCTACGTCAAAACTAAAAGGGAAAGATGGAATCATCATCTATAAAAGTAATGTTGATCATCTGTTTGAACCCTCGTAAACAAAGGTCCTCTGCTCACGTCACCAACATGCTAATAGCAGCTGGAACAGATGCAAATTAATCAGGTCAAACCACCTTCAAGTGTGTAAAGAAGCAGGGGAGAAAAAGGCTCAAGCAAAAGTTTAAGATTTAAAAAAGGAAAAATAAAAAGATTAACTAGCTTAACTGTGGAAAGTCTGCACAAAGGATTAAAAAAAAAAAAAAAAAGAAAAGTCACCAGCTCCTGGAGAGGAACCAGAATACACAGTCATCTCAAATGTAGTGCCTTAAAACAGGTAGAGAAATTTAAACAGGTCAATGTTGTGGTTAACATTGCGGTTACCCCTCTCTAGAGCATTCATGCCAATAATATTTGAGATCAAGAAAAAAAATACAAGTAGAAGACTGCAGCCACTTGAGTTTTTCTCTCAAAATTTGCACATCGATGCAACATTTCGAGTTTGTCCGGATTACTTTTTATCTCAAGTGACTGAAAGTGAGTGTTTTGCATTTCATGCAAAGTTCAAGATACAAATTTTCCTTTATGAAGAAAAAAACAAAATGTGATTTCCTTCATGTTAACGTTTCCAATGAAATCTTTGAATAACTACCTTTGAAACATTGAGTCAAATATCTATTTTGATACATAGAGAAAAACCAAAAGTAGGTAAAGAAGCATTCATTTCAGACAGATCAATGCCAAATAACTCTTATGGTTTTATCAGATCTAACAGTTATGGGTTGGGAGTTTGAATATTTAGGGCTTGATATATAATTTGATCATCAAACATACCTTTCAACTTTAAGGGAACATCTCTTTTTGCTTTGGGTAATATTTTAATGCCATAAACTGCATTTATCCATACTAACAAAGCTCTAGTTTTGGAAAGCATGCACTTTTTCTTTAGTTTTTTGTTTTACTACTCCTGTAAAGGTGACCAAATTCTTAAAAACACAATGATATGGTTCATTTAGGGACTCCTGAGGGAAATCTGACTGTGTAAATTCAGTACTAAAATGCCTACTACCTGCAAAATATTTCCAGGTTTCCCTGCTGCTCATGTTGTTGGTCTTTCAGATAATGTACTCTCACGGCTCTTCTTCTGCTTCTGTGGTCAACTTTGGTGTCAAAACTGGACTGAATTAACAGTTTTAACGTGCGATTAGAATCCTCACGATCCCTTTGTTTCAATTCACTGATGCACTTTCTGATCTGTCTGAACTTTTTGGTCGTTTTGGCACCTTTAGTTTCATTTTCAGAACGATTATCATAATGATGTATTTTTGGTTTGTGTTTCTTGTCCAAATAAAGAGATTCTCAAGAGATCCAAGCAGAGGCTTTTGATTTTAACTTTACTCTGGTTGAGCCTGGGGAAGAAATTGAGGCCAAGACGTTCCGGTTTATAAAACGTTATATTGATCAGTTTTTGTTTTTTTGCACTTTAAATATTTACATATGATCAGATTATGCTTAGTAGAACTTTTTTTTTTTATCCCCACTGATTTCAGAAACTTTCAAACTGTTATTAGATAAACTGTCACTTGCAACTTACCTTTTGTCAGAAATGCTCATCATACGGAGTCCAACGTGTCTCCACCAGAGAGCCAGCGAGAATCCAAATTTTCAGGCAAAACTGAAACCAGAATCTTAAAGCTATTCCAGGTGGACAAATTCAATTTAGTGAAGTAAAAGTACCACAGATTCCCCTCAAACTCCACTCATACCAGATACAGGTGAAAGAAGGAAGTTTCTAATAGTTTCTGCTCCATATGAAGCAAATGTGCCAACATACATTTCTATAAAATATTTATTTAAAAGTCTGAATTTACAGTGAGGTCATTTATGAACAGATTTCCAGTTTCCACAGTCTGATTTAAAGAGCTAAGTTCAGTGTAAATAAAACGACTAGCTAAACTTATTACACTCTGAGTGCATTTAAGTTCTCTGATATACTCCAGTTTTCTGTTCTTCTGATTATCTGCTTCCATCCAGTCAAGAACTACATTGTAAGCCACTTAGATAAAGATAAATGTGTCTCTTGCTCATCTGAGGTTTCCAGCTAATCTGAGCTCTGTGCTCATTTCCAGGAAAAAGTGACTCAGTGTTGTGTAAAAGGAGGTTAATGTGTCCCTCTCAGAGTTCAGTCTTTAGCAAATATATTCCTGCTTTTTATGATTAAGCGGCAGATGTGAGGTTTTAGCTTGAGCTCGACATTTATGGGACATTTCCTGAATTCTGGGCTGTAAACTCACCGACCGTCCTTCATCATAGGCTCTTTTCCCCCCCCCATAAGCTCTTAGCTCTGGGTATGCAAGTGATTGTCCAACAGTAAACATCACAGGAGTTGGGGAAAAAAAAAAAAAAAAAAGGGATTAGAAAATATTTTTTTTTAAAAGGGGGAGCCTAATAACAGTCTCCCGTGCTCACAAAGCTGCAGTACTCCTTCAGCTCTCCCAGCCCTCCAGAATGGGGAGGAATGGCAGGTCGGTGCTGCCCAGGTAGGTTCTCCCTCGGTGCTGGAAGACGTCGCTGATGGCCCACGTGAGGCGTCCTTCCGGGTCGTGAAGAGCTCCTATGACCTGTCCGTCCATTCCCAGCTCCAGGACCAGAGCGTAGCGTGGCAGGAGGAGATTGTACCAGCTGAGAGGAACCACCTGTGAGCAAAGTCAAAAGGCTATTCATTTAAACTGTTCGTCAACAAACCAAACAGCCGACATTTCCAGCCGGAGTCAGAATATGTGTGCTGTGACACAGCAAGCGAAGCTCGATAACTAAGAAAAACTATAACTCCATCCCAGCCCAAATATAAAAAGACCATCCCATTTTGGCTTTGGCTCCTCTGAAACCAAAAGGCCAGCCCCTGAGATCACTCACCCAGCTCTTACACTTTGACTCAACTACTCAGGTTTTGTTGAACTTTCTCTCATGTTTCCATTCCCTTTGTTCTCCCTGCTGATCTGATTGCGAGCACGAATGACAGCACCACTGTTAAGTTTAGCACAGTACAGCGAGAGTTCACACTCCAGCTAAACACAGATCACACTTCACACAGTCGATCCCTGAATCCAACTGGACTTTTTGGAAGCCTGCCTCTTAGCAGTTACGGAAACTATTTGGACTAGCAGAAATGCCTTTGAAGAAAAGAAAAAAAACATAACAGCATCTGAATAGACTCTTTCTGGGAATTGCTTTCTGTAGTCTTTGTTTGAATGGATAATATTTTTTAGAATGGTCTGTAAGAATTTCCATTAAGTTTTAGATGTATATACACATACATACATACCTACCTACACAGTACACACACACAAACACTTTACAGAGATGAATGTAAGGTATGCAAGTCTTATATGTTCTGTTTTTCAGCCACTGAGTTTCCGGCCCTATAAGAACCCTGGTAACTGTCAAACTGCACCTGATATTCAAAACAGGTTTTAGTGCACAGAGCAAGTCGGACTAAACCAACTCAAGGGGGTTGAGCTTCAGAAAGGCATACATTTTCTAGAGAAAGTCATTAAAATAACATTTAAAAATTCAAGCATGACTTCTACAGTCTTAACTCGCTTTGTGACTTCTAAGTAGTTAAGACCTCTTAAAGATCCTCGGAAACTCTGGATAAAAGCAGCCGATACAGTCAGTGTGGTGATGGTGAACGCAGACCTTGGCCAGGAAGCGTTTGACTGCCGGATATGGAGCGATCATATCAAGGAAGGGAGGCATAAACTTCCGAAAGCGAGGCGTTGTTATGCCAACCAGGAATGTTCCGTGGTCGCTGAGGCGGATGTTGTCGGGGTAACCAATCATGTTGTCCATTAGGACCTCCTTGGTGCCGGCCTTTGGGCCCTTCAGCCAATACCTGAGAAGAGACAAAGCTGACTAAGCATTCGTCCAACTGTTTGTGCGTCCTAGTCTTATTTTGAGGGGTTTTAGCTCCTATTTCTTACGGTTCAGGCTTGTCTGCATAAAGTAACAGACCAGTGCTAGGCTATGCTATGGATAAAGGGCCGATTCACCTCAGTATCCGCCCTATGCTGGTCTCAGCCAGCAGCAGGAAGTGTTCGTCGGGCGAGAGGACGATCCCGTTGGGCATGTAGAGGGAATCCAACAGCACCGCCACGTTTCCCGTCTGAGGATCGTACGAGAGGAGACGGCCGAGGCTGTTCAACTCGATGACCTGAAACGTCAGGTCGTGATTGTCAAGTTGGGGCAAAGTTTGCACGTCCGCTTAGAGATCTGCATGTCAATTTCATGGTTTAAACAAGTTAAGGTACCAAAATGTTACATAATGCATAAAAAAATAATGATTAACTCAGCAGAAATTAAATGTTCCACGGTTAAATTGTCAAACTGTTTTAAAGTTGTGTTTTGTTCATCTTTTGGATTCCTTTTCACCCCATCTAAACTCATAAACTCAAGCCCTATAGCTGTGACATCATTAGGGGGAGGTTATTACTTTACATGGTGTGCTTTGGTTTCACTTCCCCTTAACGTCCTGATACTTTTGCAAATTGAACCACATCTTCGTCACATCTGCTGTGGACTTCCATGCAAATTTTGAACTTCAACAACTAGGCTAAGTGACAGACTTGTGAAATCCAACTACTAATATTTCCCTTTTTCCAGCTCAGGCCGCTCTGTCATTTCCTGTGACCTTTCAGACGGTTTTCCATATTCCAGGCAGCGACTTCGGCCTAATCCCTCTAAGATGCCAGCAGGTATTTTTCCTAGGAAATCCCATTTCTCATTTACATGGACGTTTAAATATGTTTCCTGCCCAAGTCCGTGAGGAGTTCTTTTCTTTCTCCGTTTACATCCTGGAGCTTCAGCAGCTGAATGGACTCTTGGCGTTCTCTTTTTTTGCTGGTGTACAAGTACGAAGAACAAGACGGAGAGCCTGCTTGTGTGTAACCAAGGCAACACTGAGAAAAAAAGGCTTAATAAACTGTTGACTTCAGCCTTCCCTCAGTAGTTTTTGTATTCAAGGAGCTTGCTCCTCTCGACCTCACATCAACCCTTTTAAATGTCTCTTTGTGTTCCCAGATCCTTTAAAGAGGCGACTGGATTAGTATTTCGACTGATCGGACCCACCTTTTCCCTTTTCTCACCTCCAGTTTGACGTGCCTGCGTCCCCAGCGACTGGAGGAGTCCGTGAAATATATCATGCCCGTTCTGTGGGAAATCTCAAGGCCGTTCAGGAAGGCAAAGGGAACGCCATTGGCTCCTGAGGGCAGAGGAGGAGGAAGCTGGCTTAGTTAGCACAAAAAAAGCAACCACAAAAAACAGACACCATACCTTTTGAATTAGCCAACAACAGAGTCTTCTGTCCCGTTTTGGGGTCAACGCTGTGCAGGCCGAGGTACGAGTCTGCAACGATCAGCTGACCGTGGGGGTCCAGCCGAACTCCATGAGGCCGACCGCACACAGGCTCATAATCTGTGCTGCTGCCTAAGAAAATATAAAAGATACTTTGGGAGTTTTCTAACAAAAATATCCAGATTTTTAAAATGAAATAAAAAAAAACTGTATGCCCTGATATCATGAAGACAAAATTCAAACCATCACGGTTAATAATAATTTAAATATTCCCCCCTAACCCAAACACATTTCAGGGGCAGATCTCATCATTGAGAGTCGCAAACCTTTATTAATGACCTTCTCTATGGGAGAAGCTTAGTGAGAGTTTTATTTTTATTTTTTAGACAGGACGGTACGTTTCACGATGCAGCTGTGGAGTTAAATCTGACTGTGACAGGTGCATCATTCCAACAGGAACACAGAAGTACAAACAGGCGGAAGGGTACAAACCACATTCTGGTAGATTCTGTCCCATGTGGGTGATCAGCGTGAGACTGTCATCAGGGCTGATCCTCCACAGCTTCCCGTCTACCGTCCCTGTGTACACGTTACCTGAAAACACAGACGTACAATTTCAGGATTTAGTCCATGAATGCACAAGAGACTGATGTTAAAGTTGATGAATTTGCTTAATGCGTAAAAACAAGGCGATAAAGTCTCATTAAAGACATACTCCTTGCAAACAAATGGGAACTGGGACTGTTTGCTAAATTGGCCATTTCAAATTCTTAAATGTTGGAGACAGAAATAAAAAGGATGGATTTGACTTAAAGCCTCTTCATATCCATTAAAGGAACGAGAGAGATTACCTTCCGAACAGCCCGTGCAGGGGGTTTGCACTCTTAAGATTCGCCTGAGCCTTAAAGCACTGAATATTTGTGATAAGTTGACCATTTCTAGTACCATTACTGACCATACATGTCATGAAGCATAACTTTAAAATGTCTGTAGAGTCTCTTAAATCCAAACCATGAGTGGTGTATACACATACCAACTTTCTTTTTGATTTACTACTTTTTCTGACTTTTTTATGACATGGTTGAATTAACGCACCTTCCTCATCGGCAGTGAAGGATTCTGGTCCATGTAGTCTCCCCGTGAACAGCCTGCGGCCTCTCTGCAGGCGAACGTTAACAGCCAAGGGCCCCTCCAGGGCCGGGGGGGGTCCCTTCAGACTGCAGAAACACGGAATGGTCACAAGCAGCTGAAGTTAGAATTAGACTATTGCTCAATTTCCGGGGCTGAGAAAAAAAGGAAAAAATTGCAGATGGTGCCAAAATGACAGGAAAAACTGATTAAATACAGCACACTTACACATGTGGTTTAGGGTCTATGGGAGACGGTAGCAGGTAAACTCCAACAGCCAGAGCCAGAAGGGCCACCACCAGTGATCGCCTCCCCAACCTGAGCAAACAGCCATGCGGACTACACTTGCACAAAGTCTCTGTGACTTTGGTACAAAATTACTATTTCCCAATAAATAGTAAAAATATAATGCATTTAATGGTGCGAAAATATTATTTCTGGAGACAGCACTGCACAGTCAACAGCTTAACGAGCCCACAATGTTGTGCCACATAGGTTGAAGTGACCTTTGACCTTCCATAGCATGTTCCATCAGGATCGGACAGCAGATTGGTTACACAATTTCATTCAAAACTAAATCGTTTGGTCAACGTTTTATAATAATGATTAATGAGTCAAGACATGCATTACTGGCTGCCTAGTGAGGATAAATCTGGACCCGACTGACTTTTACAAGAGTTGTACGTATTCATGGCTAGTTTTTTCTATAAGTATTGTATGTGCTATATATTACTGCTTCAGACTGATGCATGGTTTCAGAAAAATTTAAATGGAAAAGAGGTTGAAAATAGACATTTAATTTAAATGTGCTTGAAAAAGCCCCCAAAAAGTCGACAAAGATATGCATTTAAATAATGACACATAATGTATATATATAATTTTTACATAGACACATTATAGAAAAAAATAAACCTCACTCTACCTCAAATTTGGAATCTTTCTTGAAATAATTAGGAGGCAATTAAATCGAACAAGAGCACACAATGGTGTGTTCAGGTAACATTCACCCTCCTGCTTCCCAGGCACCCCAAGATATGTTTTATGCATTGCTCAAGAAGTTATAATGTTAACCGAGTTATTAGAAGCCGAACAAAAAAACGCGGCTGATGATGAAACATTAAATAGCTCACAACGACCGCGAGGAGCACTGAATTATATATTAAGTTTTATTCTTTTTTTACGACGCGCCTCCTTTTATACCAAACCAAGACTAATTTAGCGGACACATTTTCCTGAACGCGACGACTTTCCACCGGTCGGAATAGTTTTACAGTTTAAACACCTCCTCAGACAAGTTGGCAGACTCGTTTTTTAAGCTAGTTACACTAAGTTCAGTTTGAAAACTTACATCGCTGACTTTCTGGGAGCGCGCGCCTCCTTCCCCCGTTGAGTCTGAAAGGTTGTGTAGAGGTGTCACGGCGGGAGACGAGCAGCACCTTAACGCACCGGAGCGTAAACCACCACATCCGGCGTGGACCGCCATAATAAGAGAGTTGAGGGTCTTATTTGGTTCCAAGCTGGCAGGCTTTTTCCTGACACATTTTCAAGTGGTCTTGAGCAATAGCTCCCCATGTCTTCTGATAGCATATACAAGTGTTTAGTCTTTGGACTTTGACTGATTTTTCACTCTACTTTGGGCCCCTCGATTGTCAGAGCAATGAGCTTTTGTTTGTTAAGCCACGTAAAATTTACCTATGATCCACCTAAAGTTATCTGTAGCCTCATTAGAAATGGCCACTCTTAAGAAAAGCAGGGAGAAAAATGCTTTTAAAAAGTGGTCTGAAAGTGAGTGGCAATAGCTGCTATGGAGGAATGACTCTTAGACCGAGAATGGACCTCGATATTACTGAATATTGGCTGAAAATTTATGAATATCATGCAGGAAAGCCTAGAGAGCTACTCCTGCAAACCACAGGTGTGAATTACAGGAGATAATGTCTAAAAGGAATCCGGCAGTGTCGAACAATAAAGTGCCTCGATGAAGCTAATTGAATTCCTCTAGGTTGCACGAAAAGTGCAATAGGTCACATTAGATTCGGTAGCTTTAATGACACGTCTTGCATTCCTTCTATTTGTCTTGAACTGACCAGCAGTGATTGTTAAAAACCACAAACCATGAAGAATTTAAGCTTTGATGTGTCATAACAGCACGATCAACCAGGCATGAATTTGGAGAAAATAATTGCATTGAAATATTAAGTTGCTGTAGTGGTTTTCAATGTTAGCATACATGTGCAGCACCGCTTCATTTTTTGCTCTAACAATAAAGGCAAGTCCATTTTTGACTGTCTCCCCCAATTAGAAAATTAGATTTCTTAATCAGGACATGTTGTATCAGATTAAATAGTTATTGAATTACCTTAAATTCTCTGATAAGACTTGCTTACAATAGTAAAACAAAAAGCAAGAGGAAAACACTAAAGAACCAAATAAATGTCAAAGAAATGTACAGAAAGGAAAGAAATCTGGATTTTCTTTTGGTCTCTACATGTAATCTAGTTATAGTTAGGAATGAACCCTAAGTCAAAGATGGTTTTCAGGTATGTTTTTTGTATTTTAGTCCTGTTACCAAACTAATTTATTATGTCTGTGCTGTTCCTCTTTGAAGCTTTTTCTTTTATGAAATAATTTTTGGTCTTAAGGTTATCTTTGCGTCTTTTGTTCTTCATGTGCATGAGTAGTTTTAATTATTGAACTTTCCTGTGTCAGATTTAGTTAAGAAGCATTTTGAATACTCAAAGAGAATCCACTCCAATCACTGGATTTTTTACTCTGAAAGAAGTGCTGGTTTGGCTTATCCCAGCTTTACACTTAGCAGAGTCTAAAGTTTGGCTCTATTAAGGAGGAGGGATCCCACTTTTTGTCTGTGAGGTTATGTGAGTCGGGGTCAAACTGGGGCCAGGAGGAGGAGGAGCTGCTGCATCTGCTCCCAGCATCGTTCCTGCCAACTCACTGACATCACATCACTGAGCGGAGAAAACACAGTTAATCAATGTGACACTTATTAATAAGGGGGAAAAAGAAGAAAAAAAAAAGATGGGAGGCTGAACCACTGATTGTTTTTTGTGGCTCTCTAAACTTTTTTTTCACTCTAAAGATTTACATAGATTCCTGTAGCATTTTATAGATTGAAACTAAACAAAAACCTCAAAGTGTACTTTGAATAGTTAAAAGAAAACAAGAGAAATGTGCTGAACTCACAAAGTAATAATGTGAAGACTTTAAAGCTTTAAATGATCAATCCATAAGTCTGGATCCAGCCCTAAATAGCTTACTCATTAAAATGCAGGAAATGCTGACTGGTTTGTGTAGTTTAAGAGCACTGTGGCTAATACTAAAGTTTGCTCCACTGGTCCTCATGTGTGTTGTGGTCAGTTAAAGGCAGAAGGTTTTTAGATCTGTTAGGTCAGTGCTGTCTTATTCTGCCATCTTAGAGCCACATCATAAAAAAAAACAAGACAAAAAAATAAGCATACAAACACCAATCCTTTTTATCTTTTTATTTAATTTTCATAGATGAAACCTGCCTTGTCGGCGGGGCGGGTGAGGGGGGGGAAGGCCACGTTTGGTAACGATTCAGAGAAAAACAAAGAGACACTTTGAGAAATAAAGCTGCTGCGAACCGTTTTTCCAGTTCGGGGAACATCAGGTGAGACGTTGAGTTTTGCCTGCAGGTTTTCTGTTTCTCTGCTGAGGTCAGGCTTTAGGAAGGCACGACTGACGCCGGGGAGCTCGACTCTGACTTTGGTTATCCGGCATGCGTGGGTTCTCTCACGTTTAATACTGAGAAGAGTGATTTTAAACTTCAAATGACTAGAAAGGGTCACTGTGTGAAATAAGCCTGCTGACCTCCAGGCTTCTGCGCTCACTTTGAAAAATCAATAAGAATTCATTTCACAATAAAATCCCATCTTTGGTATCGCTACAGACTGTGTAATTAATGAACAATGAGCCAGTTTAAAGTTCTCCTCTGGAGCTTCAGATCATCACGCAGGGATGTTTTTTGAGTGAGTCTCTATATTCGAGCGACAGTTGACGAAAAAGCGTTGACTTTTGACCTTTTTCAAAACATCAATTGATGGAATATCTTAGGTAGATTCTAAAGCTAATACCTGCCTAGAAATTCGTGAATGAACCCCTAAAAGATGTTATTTAAATGATAATAATCAGATAGAGATGTAATCCAAAATGTAAAAAAAAAAATGTAATCCAGTCACACCTCATGATTAAAAGCTGTGGAAACATTTTTCATGAGATAAAGATAATAAAAATTAAAAAAGCAATATTCACATCTAAGGATTTTCTGACGATAAAACATTTAGCAAATTGAGCATATAACCCATTTCTCTCACTGTGGCTACAGTTCACTTAGTTCGATTAAAAGATGTTATAATGCTGTAAAAAGAACAGAAAACCACCTCAGTATTTGGAAAGGTTCGTCAAACTATGACTTCTTAAAGTGGAGAATAAACTCAAAAGCTCAAAATGTGCCTGGATAACATTTCAGATAACAGCTCATCGACACAAAAGCTTTTCACAAACAGACAGCTTCTCCTTTGTGTCACTGTGTGATGGTCAGATGTCCACTGAGCATGTTCCACACAAACATGCAGAAATGAAAAAAACAAAAACAAAAATTCAGAAAACAAAGAAACATTTCACAGGTAACTTTAAGGAAAACACGGCCGCAGGCCGCATTTCAGTTAGTTAAAAACAAAACAGCGTGGATAGCTTTAAAATAGTGGAATAAGTAGTTCAGATGAATTTCAAAGTGTGAACGCGGTGCAGATCAAACAGGACGAACAAAAAAATATTTTATTTAAAATAATCATCTTCCCTGAATCCAACATTAAAGTGCCCAAAGAATTTGAGATAACCAGCCTGGTTATAGTTGTTTATGAGATACGCAAACAACGGCAAGATTCATCAACGACCCCCATTATTATATAATAAAAAAATATGGAGGCAACAAAAATAATTATACTTTTATCCAGACAAGCAGCTGAATATCGAACCACGCTGGATTTTTTTCATTAAAAAAATATCCATAAAAAAAAAAAAAACACTTTAAAAGAATTAAAAAGAACCGAAAATGATCGATTATCTGATCTGTTCCAGCCGATCCCCCCCAAAAATATATTGATATTCAGCTGCCTGTCAGTTTAAGATCATTAAAGCCCCTTTTGCCGCTTCCATAAAATGAAGCCAGTGTTTGATAAGGAGAAGAAATCAGCGTAAGGATCCCCTTTAAATAAAACTCTATAAAAACAAAGTTTTCCCCCTGCGGTGGGGAAAGAGGCCTCGAGTAAAGCTTTGCTCCAGGCAACACCACTAAAACATCTTTGGTTAGAACAAAAAAGGTCAAATCTATGCCGTAATCATGCTTTGACACAGAGAGGAGAGGATAGCTTGCAGTATTTGGCCACTTGATGGCGACATCGCAGCACGGCCAGTTTTTTCCTAATCTAGCCTAAAACGGTCCATGTAGTTCCTTTTTTTTCCTTTTTCTAAATTCTCCTTTTCAGTTTCTCAAAGCAAGTGACTAAATGTTGAAACTAAAACCCAAAAGACGGCCTCTTAAGTACACATCCTTTTTTTTAACATGAGAAACAACACAAACCAAAGAAGCAGCTCCACACATCTTCAAACTAGCTACACATACTTTATCATTTTGACTTTAATTTGCCATCATCTGAAGGATTTTCTGCACTTCAAACATATTTCGTCTAGTTTTTTCCCCTCTGAAACACCTCTACCCTCAAGAAGAAAACGAAACATAAACTCTGTATGGGGATGAGGTCAAGGCCGGACGTTTGACGGTAGATAAGAGCACCAGCGCGCTCTTAGAATGAATAGCCGTCGACAGATGACACTTATAAGCAGGCCAATTGGACAATGCGGTCATTTTCCCAGCTCTGTTCTCGGCAGCTATCGGCACTCGCAGACCTCCTTTTGTCCTCCGTGCCCATTACAGGTTCATCAATCTTGTGGCTGCACTAAAATCTCACCCGTTCTAAAGAGCTTGTTTTAGGAGAAAACGCTCCTGTGTTTTCAAAGAGCAAAATCTCCTTTCGTTTTTATTCCCCCATTCCTACGTCCAGTGTTTCTCTTCTACTTCCTCTTTGCCGTTCGGTCAACTTCCAGAAACTTCCACTCCCTACCCCGGTCTGCTCGGGTGCATAAACAGAGGCCTTCCATCCCGCCGCCTCTTTGTTGCGAACCTCACGCTTGTCTTCAATCTACAGACACCAAAACTAAAACCCAAACTACCTCCTATTTTCAAAGGCTTGGTTCTGTTCCAATCTTTGATTGTGAGTTTGGACTCTCGGTCAAACTCTCAGTTGCCATTTCTCTGGACGCGTCAAACTGAAACCTATGGAGCCATAAGTGTGCCAAAACGATCATGGGTTAAATGACATACATTTAAATTTGGATTATAGAACACATTTCATTAAATATATAAATTAAACAAAACATTTTAAAAATGTCCCTACTGGGATTTTTTAAATAAACACAAATTAAAAAATTAATTGCCAATGACATTTTTGATTTGATTGTCATTCAGTAAAATTAAGTTCTGTTCCTTCTCAATTGATCAGTTCACACCATGTTTACTCTGGATGTGATTTTTTAAAGGGTTTATTTAACTATTAACAGTAGAAAAAGTATAAATTATTCTAATTTGTAATATGAATGCCATAGAATGCTGTAATGGCAAATTTCTGAGCCAGTCTGTGGTTTTCCTGAACTCAACACCTGGCCCGGTGTCCATCCATCTAGCGGTAGTCTCTATAAACTATTCTCAGTCTCTGTGTCAAAACGTGGTTTGTTCCTGAACTAAAATAAGACTTTCTTTTAAAAAAAAATGTTTAAAAAGAGAAAACAAAAGAAAAGGAAAAACAAAAAGACAAAAACGCTTCACCCATATAAATAAAGGAAAGAAAAATATGTACAAACCTGGAAAAAAAGAAAACGAACAAATTAAATAAAAAAATAATCCAACATATGGCCTCGTGTCGTCGAGCGGAGAGGGGGGACGATCGGATGAACAGCATAAATTATGTGACAGCGGGACAGACGTAGTCAGAGAAGAAGAGGAGCGTGGACGGAGAACAGCTGAGAGGATAAATGAGGATGACACAAACGGCCGAGTGGACCTCTGATGTGTTCAGCCGGCGCTGTCCATTCATCCTTTTTCTGTCCTTCGTGCGCAGTTTTGTTCTCTCCGCCTGAAAATCCCTCCATCCAGGTGCGTTATCCTCTCCTTAGAGCTTCTTCCCGTCCCTCCTTTTGCCAAAATGTACATTACGCCGCAAGTTGTCCTCCGAGGAGATGAAAGGAACAGAGCGAGTCCTCCGCCCCTTTAGGGGGCAGCAGTCCGGTTATATTGAGCTCAGTTCCTCTGGGGGGGGGCTTGGAGCTCGCTCATGGCCTCCTGCAGTCTCTGCCGGTAGGCCTCGTAGCGGTGAACTATGGCCTCCCTCTGCTCCCGCTCCTCTTTGTCGAGGATCCGCAGGAAGTTGCGCAGCTCGGGGATGGAGAAGGCCTCCCACTGGTGAGGAGAGAGAGAGGGAGAGGACTCGGTTAGCAGGGCTCGCACCGGGGATTCGCGGGACGCGAGAAAAGCCGACGCTAAAGGCCAGAGGAAGAGGACTGAGTGCGTTACCACGACTTCTCCGGTTTGCTGTTCTCTCAGCACGAAGCTGAGCGTGTCCAGGTCGGGTCCCGCCACCAGACGCAGGAACAGCGGCTGCTCACCATCTGCCAGCTTGCACACGTACACTGTAACACACACACACACACACAGGCAATCAGTTAGTCGGTCCAGTGCTAGTGGGGCTGGATTTTTGAGTCAAGACTCTAATTTAGCCATTAAATTGAGGAAAAAGCAGGTGGAGTTAACTGACTTATCATAATTACAAGGTATATATTCAGTGAACCACCTGCATATCATATTTCCCTAAATGTGAACTTAAGATACAGTTGATTTTGTCATGTATGCTATATGAGTGACACTATGTCCCTTCTTCTTAAAGTTATCAAATCTCCCTCTCTGATTGCGTTCGTTTTTGTTTTCCTCCAAAGAGGAACATTAAACAGAGCGAGTTCCTCAAACGTCTCCATAACATCTGCTGCCCGACTCGAGTCTAGACGTCGCTTTTTACTAGCAGACTGTACGTCTCCAGTTAATTCATTAACCTAAACCAAAGCGGGAGGTGACAAAAAACATGTCTGGATGACAGACTTCGGGCTCCTTTGAGAGCTCAAAAGTATAATATTGTCTGTATCTTTCTAAATTGGAGCCGTTAAAAAGACTGTAAGATAACACGTGAGGCCTTTAAACAGCTGCTGATTCGCGGTGTGTGTGTGTGTGTGTGTGTGTGTGTTCTCTGGGTATCCCTGCTGTCGCTGGGTGAGCCCTGTGGCATCCAGCAGCAGGGCGAGGCCTCCACGCAGACACAGAGAACATCGCTGTGTGTCTAAGGCAGAGGGAGAAATGCCTTACCCTGCTCCTCCCTGCAGTAGCGCTTATAAAGGGCATATTTGGCCGGGTTGTCCGCGACTGTGAACTTGTTCAGCAGGGCGACGATCACCTGAACACACAAACAGTTTGTCAGCAATGAGAGAGGAGTCATTTCATTCGTTCCTTATCAAATAATACTTCCATTATTAAGCTGCGAAAGGTTTGTTTGTAGCAGATAGTAGCTGCTTCTCACCAAAGCTTTCCACCAAACTACTTGTCAATGCTGTTTTTGGTCTTTTAAAAAATTAAAGCCCAAATCTTCAAAAGAGCATTTATTTACAACTAACTTGATTGCGACCAGGATGTTGAAGATTTTGGAGCTGAGTTAATACTTCTCATGTTTCCTTCACACATCAAATAAAGCCTTTAAGGACTGTTTACTCCCAACATTGAGCCATATCGCTGTAAAACTTTTATCAGGGTTTGAAATGTGCGTCAGTTTTAGTGTAGTTTATCCGTCTTCAAGGTCGTTAAACATTTAGTGTAACACAAGCGAAGAGTTTGAGGCTTCAGCGTGATAAAAAAAAATCACTTTTCTTAAAACAATTAATCTAATTCTATTAAAGTAATGTATATTTTGGTGGGTAGAAAGACAAAAATACCAAAACACAAGCCCAAACACTGTTCACAGCCCTTCTCCTCTCAGTTGAGAGAGCGCCGTTACTCATTCATTTTCTTTATCGTTGGATCACATGTCAAATTAAGCCATCGCAGCTGTTCGTGTCCGTCTGTCGGCGCGACTTCGACCACGGCGCACCAGTCATTAGGCTGGATGGGTCAGACTACTAATGGTAGATGACACCAGAAATCAGCGATGCCAAGAAATTGTGTGTCTGAAAGCGGCTGGCTTCACTTTGAGTGGGTTTTGGCCGCCATCATTGGAGAAGCTAAAAATATACAACTGTGGTCTATTTAAGGGAGCTTATAGAGCAGGTAGGAATCAAAAACCAAACCGAAAGGAGGAGTGAGAAATGGAAACATCACAACAACCAGGATGAATGGGGTAGTGGAGTTTTTAAAGGGCCAAATTACTTAAAGTAAAATGCCTCAGTTTCATACCGGTGATATTATATGTCTTAATTTAGTAAAAGATTTTAAGTTCTTTCAATTCTTAGGATTTTATTTAGTATCTATTGCATTCATTTCCATCACCAGTCGCTGATGTATGGAATAATGTAACTTTTCACTACACGGCCGTCCTTTTTTCTGCCTGACCTTGACTTTCTCTGGTACGTCAACAGATCCTAATAACCCATTTCAGCACGCTGTGAATAAAAGTGTGTCGATGTGCGCGAGTGTGTGCGCGCGCCCACCTGTTTGACTGTGTTATTGGAGCTGATGTGGAGGGTGTTGGTGACTCCTCGGGGCAGATAGAAGGCCTCCCTGGTCATGGTTCCTGCTGCTCCTCTCTGAGCCCCCCGGACTGTCACCGGCCTCCTCAGCTCCATCTGGACCTTGATGAAACCGGTGTACACGCCAGAAGGACCCTGGAAAGGACACAGATACGGTCAAATGGACCCGCTCGTACTGCTGAAAAGTATCCGCATTGGTTTGAAAAGAATGCTCCATAGAAATCAATTCACAATTTCCACGGCTAAATCCAATCCCAGCCACTTAGCTTTAGCGAACTTAATCAAATGGGGCATATCTTTTGAGGCAACACCATTTAAGAAGTCGTTGTTCCAAACTAATCTAATCGAAACTATTTTTGTCTGTTTATGAAGAGAACATGTTGAGAACAAATGATTCAGGAAAATGAAAACAACTTAGCTAATCGCATCTGCAAAGATGAAAACGTGACCCGCCAGCTGTTTTCTATCAAAAAACAGCTAGCAATAAACTCTAACCGACAAGAAAAAACTGACTAACCAGCTTGTTGGCAGAAATGAGCCAGCCAATTTTTAATCCCAAACTTTCCCAGAGAAAAACAAGTCTCTCCACGTTCCCTTGTGGATGTCCACTGCAGTAATTGTTGTTTAGAGTTGGAGAAAAAAATAGCCTAATTTATTCTTTGTGACATCTTGAAAAGGTGCAAGACACTCTTTCCTACAATGTAAACTCAATTAGAACTAAACATGATTTTCCTCATATGCATATGTGCGCTCATTTACTCTAGTAAAAACTAAATAAAGCATCATACCTCCACAAAACAGCGAAGCTGTAGTTGGTTGAAAGTAGCTCACTACAAACAAAAGTCTCCCTCTGTTAAATATTTCTCATTTTGTAAGACAAGTGCTACTATAAATATCCCTCCTTAGCTGAAATGCACAGGATCAGTTATTTTTCTCAAACCTGTTGATTGGAATAGCATGTTTTTGCATTTGAATGTATTTATTAAGACTTTTTAAACTATGTCTTGACATTTGGTCGTCAAGGGAAAACTGAACTGAAATTGTATTTAAGCCTGATCACAGTCAGTTTCCCAGATAGTAAAGCAAACACAGATCAGTGCTTGTTCTAGTTTTCTTTATGAAGATTATTCACTTAAATACGTCACATTGGTCTATGGATTGAGGGGTTAAGGATCGGTAACGGTTAAAATTCTAAGTGATTGAATATTATAAAAACACTAGCGTCCCTTTTGAAGATGACATGGATCAGATTACAGCTCAAATCTGGAGCTACTGTGAAGTAACTTGAATAAAACACGAGTAAATCTTGTTAGGTTTCCGCAGAGGCAGAGCGGCAGCTCGACAGCAGGTGCAACACGATCCCTCAAAGCCAGACCAGTTGACCCAGAGAGTCCAGTGTCTCCTGCAGGACAGATGGCCCCAGACGGAGGAAGAGCATCTCAATCTCGTTACTCCCTGTGCAGCCCTGAGGAGATTCGCGTGCAAGTTTGTGCTTCTCGGTAACAAGAGGAGAAACATTGGGGCTGAAAATGAAACCTGCATTTTTGGCATGATAAAAGGAGACAAAGGAGAGGGACGTCAGACGAAGTCATTCCGAGGTGTGGACGAGGAACAAAGCCTCACATAGCGATTCTATCAGCTCATATGCCTGCAAGTGATTAGCTGGTTAATTGATGTCAAAGAAATATGTAAAAACAGAGCTGCAAAAAACTTCTTAAATAGCTAAGCAGTTAGGACGAATTTGCTCTGCCAAGTGCTAAATAAACATATGAAACTTATAATGGCCATTCCAAGAATTAATGAACAGAAAATTTTGTCTGTCTCTTTCTCTCAACTTTTTTTAAAATTTAATTTAATTTTTTACTTCTTTGACTACACAACAAAATGTTTTTAAAAGTTTTTTAAAAGCAAACATTTATTTCGAATTTGGTGAATGTTTTCATCATGTTTATTTCTATAAAGCTGAAAAAAATGATGTACGCTATGTTTCCCTAAGGTTTCCACGTAATCTAAATCTTAACTCTTAACTTTCACAGATGTTCCCTTTAGAGGCTGCTTAGGTTACAGGATGAAAAGAAAACTCCCACTTTAATATAGCGCTAGGATTCATTAGATGCCTGAATCACCTCATTTCTATTGCGTTTTCCTCCTTTAACTTCAAATATCTCTCACGCTGCCAAGGAAAACACAGTGTGGGGGTAGGGGGGGGGCAGAACAATAGCAGGAAAAGCATCACATCACTCTGATGTGAGTGTTCAGGAATGCTGAGAGCAGGAGGGGAGGGCTGAGGTGATGTTGAAACACGAGCTGGCGTCAAGCGGGAAGCCGGCCTCGTTCTTACCTTGACGCGTTACCTGCTGGAGCGTTTTTAAATGCGCGGCTGGTTTCACGGCGGAGCTTAAGCGCTCGCCGGAATCTATTTTCGAAATGGGGAAAACATTCCTGTGTGCTCCACTCACCAGTGTCATTTTTAGATGGTCTCTGGTCAGCGAGTTGTACCGCTCGATCCTCAGTCTGATTTCCTCCCTGCTGAGCTCTGTCCGCAACTCCTTCTCCTTCTCCACATCCTTCCATAGGGAAACAAAAGAGAGTGGAACGATGAGACAGAAGTCGGCCACGGGAACCAAAACAGTCAGGTCTGTGTGGAAAGTAGCAGCTGGACACTTGACCGGAGGCCCACTAGGGGAAAAGTCCCTTTGACTCAAAATTTTTGTTCATTTTGACACAATCAAAGATTCTACCACCAACCCAAAAATCCAGTTTGCATGTGCATTTATTTGTCCTGAAATGCCGAGTCTAAAAACCTGCAAAGTCAGCTCTTTTTGTGACCTACAAATGATCCATTATAAAGCCAGGATGGAGTGGCAGGTGTGTGTAGAAAGAAAAAAAACCACATTAAGTTGAAACTGTTCACAAGAAAAATACCCTGAAAAGGAGAGCTGGGAGTGCTCAGGTTTCCACCTTTTTGAAGAGAAACCTTAACATACATGTGAGGAATCTGGTCAACTGTGTCTCGCATACACGTGTCACATCCGACAGAGAATTGTGGCGTTTTCCATGTGGCCCATCGTCCTGTTACAGAAAGAATTTGTTTCTCTTGTTGCATATATGTATCTATATATATATATAAATAAAAGTTTACCAAATTAATGACACCGTTTTTGCACCAGTGAGGTGATTCCCATACCGTATTTCAGCTATAGTCACATTTATGCACACATAAACTTCCTTCCTGTGCTAGTTAGCATAACAAGACATTAATGTTGGTTTTAGACTCTACTTAAGTCATTTACTTTCATTCAGAGTAGGCATTCATGCCTAAGAAGCCAAGAATTGAACAGGATTATTTCATGTTTAGAGCACAATGTGAGAAAAGGCCTCTCTGCTGGAGGGTGCGCACATGACAAAAATATCTCACAAGTCTCCTGTTGAGGGACTGACTGCTATTTTTAGACAAGAAAGTCCAGCAGGAGGGAGGTCCAGCTCCACGAGAATCAGATCGAAAACAGTTAGAGCACAAAAGGTCTTCAGTTCGATCCTGCGGCCACGTGGATTTTTGAAATGCCGTGCGTAAGTGATTTAAACAGCTCGTGAGGTGGCCATCCAGGATGCTTTTGCTGGAAGACTGAAGGAAGTCAGCGGCCGATGGCGGCTGTGTGTAAATAACCCAAGAGGGAGGAGCCAGTCGGAGAGGTCTGAGGGATCAGAGCTGAGGTCAGCTGGTAGGAAAAGCCGGGGTAGAAAAGATGACGGACGGGAGCATGTGTGCACGTGTGCCCCTGCAGAAGGGAATCCTGAAAACCACATCGAGAATCCCTCATATGAGTGAATCACCGCTTCGCAACGCCAACATCTGTGAACGGCGACACACAGCACTGTAATTTAGCTCCCATTAAACAGCCGCGTTTAACAATTGCCTAACCTCAGAGCCAATTAAAATGTTTTTCTGTTTCACTTTGAAAGGCTGTTAAGCGTCACTGCGGGGCCGACTGAGCGGCCCGCGTCCACGTGGCTTTTTTTTCTCCCAAAACAACAACTGTTTTATGTGAAAAATCAGACAACTTTCATACATTTCCCAAAATTGTCCACCTAGGTAAACTAGCAAACTTATAAGGACTCTGAATAACTAGCATAGACAAAGATGCAAAAACGCAAAGTTACTCAACAACTACATTTCTAATTTAGGTGTTCAAAGACAACAAAGGGGTTCTGAATTAGCTGAATCCTTATTTACATTGGTTTACTCTGTCTGACCTTATTCTAGCAGACATATTCATGTTCATGTCCACAAACGATTGCAATAAATCAGAGGTTTACAAAATTCTTGCATAACAACTTCAACTGCCTAAATCAGCCTCAGTACATATAATATTATAATAGCAATAAACACACAAAAAAATGGGTTGCATACATTTCATGAATCTATATCCAATGGCCTAAAAGATAAAGGGAAAAACAACAGAGAAAATCTGCAGCCTCCTGGAATATATATGTTTTAATTGCACACAACAAACCTAAACAAACAAAAAACAGGATGGGTTTTAAATGCATGTTAAAATGTATCTACTTGGAGACATGTTAAATAGCTTTTAAAAAATGCTTTAAACGAAACCAGAAGAACACATATGACAATTGTGGATCCTCAGAGGAGTTTTTCCTCTTTTAAGAAGAGCCCTTTTTCTTCAACTTTTAGATGTATTACAAAGTGTTATCACTCAAATATTAAAGGTCAGTTGGAACCTGTACTTTTGGAGGAAAATGAAAAAAAATAAAATAAAATAATAAATTGCTGTGTGCAATTCTTTCATCTGCAATAATCAAGCCCCCCCAACCAGATTATCCCCAAAAATATAATATTGTTTCAGCTTGAACTTACTAAAGAAATCAGGTTTAAACAGAAAAAAAGAGAAAAAAGAGCAAAGAAAAGCTTTTTCCAGTTTGCAAAAAAGCTTCTGAAGACGTTACAATAACTTTCCACTGCTGTTTCTCTACCACGGGAAGCCTAAAAAGAACAGATTTGAGGGTTTAATATGTGATACAAACAACTGGAGGATTGAGTTTGTGAATCCTGGATCAGACACTTTGCGACTTCCATGGTTTATTCTGTGCTTACATGGGCATAGTGCAGCTCTCCAAAGCATCTCTTGACCCCCCCACCCACACACACACACACACACACACATTGTGCAGAATCCAAGGAGGCCTCGAAGGCATGCATACCCTTATATGGACAACGCACACAATGCCAAAGGTGGCAATACAGCAAATGCAGAAAAAATACAGACACACACTCGCGCTACTGAGCTTATTTACAGCTGTGTCCTATGAGAGCTGCATAACAATTCTGAATCTGGGAATTTAACTCCAGCTTTACCGTCCCTAAATAAAAAACAACAACAAAAACAGTGGTGCTGGTGAAAGCAGATGTGGGTGTCAGTGGGAGTGTAGCCATGAAAAGGCAGAGCTTGCCCTCGGATGATGAGGCGCTTACCGGGGGTTTTCACACTATCAGAGCAAGAAAACAGCAGCGTGGATACTTTGAGGGAAATGTCTTCACATCTGGCAGAAATGTGGTCAAACGGTGGTCGAAGGGTCACTGAGAACAGACAGTGTGCAAGCCGATCATGGCTGAATTCAAGAATGAGAAACATACTGATCGGGCCGTCATTCTGCAGCTTTAATCAGCAAACGGACCAGATTAAATAGCATGTTTGACTAGTTGCTGACCTAGTGAAATCCACCCAAGGTTCCTTTCATAAAGATGTACAGACAGGGATTATGATGGCAACTTATACATATATACAGGCACTTATTTAAGTTCTATATCTTCTAACAGGCTGTCTGTTAACGTCTTTAATAATCTGGTAATTAAAGTCTTGATTCTTTGGTCTAAATAACACATTTAGTTGGTTATGACGAAATCCAAATACACCAAAATGTTCACTTTGACTGTCACATAGTGCATGACTTTCTTACATTCTTAAATCCAACGTCTATGGCAGAACGGTGATTATCAGACTGCCACTAATTGCCTTTTCCCAGCCTGTGCTCAGTTTGACACCTTGCTGATGGCAGCCTGACCGTCAGTCTAACACACACACACACACACACACATACACACTCTGACTCATTGGGATTACGGGAGGACACACGCAGTGGGATAACACCCCCGCTTTAGACGGATCCGATCACTCCCGCGCACACTAAAACAAAATCAGCACGGGGCGAATCCTGAGTTTACAGATTCCTCCCTTTCTTTCTAAATATTTCTGTTATGCTGTGTCATGACGTTGACTTTGACCTGAGAGGGTCTTTTCCCACCACCAATCTGATCATTAAGCAGCTACCGGGTCAGATGAGTCGAAGCTTATCACCAGGGATGTGGCCGGTAAAGGAGATTATCTGTCATCTCGCCATCAGCCTGAAGAAGAGGCGTTTATGTACAGGGCCACCTATAGATAAATCCTGTGGAAGGGAAGAGGAGCTTTGATGACCCCCTGCTTCTTTGTCAATGACTCAGAGAGACGGCACTTGTGAGCTTAACCACTCCAGAGAAGCTTAGCATCCAGGAGAGAAAGGGTTAAAGGGAACCGGGAGGGTGAGAGCGGCCAAATCCAAACAAACAGGAGAAGCAGAGCAACACGGTGAGGTCACGGTCCAATTTGGGAGCACGGCGAATCCTCCCACTGAAGCTAATGCTAACACAGAGATAAAAGTTTGGTTTTAACCGGTTGCTTTATCCAAACAGCGGCCTCTTTCCACCACATCTTAGAAGGATTACAGCCTGTTACCGGTGAAAAAGCGGGATGACGTCAATGACATTCGGCAGAGGGTTATCTTACTTTTGATTGCGTTTCCAATTCATGTTGGAATTCATGGGAAATTAGCTGACGTATCGGATCACATATATTCAGATGACTAACTGGATCATCCAGTACATCAGAAGTCGGTCATGTCGGCTTGCCACATGCCTCAGCTGCCAAAGAAGGAAGCTGTGTGCTTTAAAGGACACAATGATTTTCATACAATGCGATAGCAGCACTTTTGTCTTGCATAAGGATCTAGGGACACGCTGGAACGGAAACTTTACCTCTAGTTTCCAAGTGACGAGAAACAATTCAAGCCTTAATACTGTAAGAGAACCGTACATCTACAGATTACGAGCCAAAACTATAAACATGGTGAAGTGGGTTCAGGTGTTTAAAAAGAGATCGGAAAACATGAAATAAGGATGTAGCTAAGTGGGTATGCCTAATGAAACCTTATTAGCTGAGGGGTTAAGCAGAATGGTGACATAATCCGCATTAAACAGTCACAACATTATGACCACTCCGAAAGTCTTACTATTGCATAAAGAGCTCAAACACAGAAAAATCTCTGTGACGCCTGGTCTTTTGGGTCACAGGAAGCTGCATCAAAACATTTTGGGGCGACGCATTGAGCGCCTTTTTTCGTTTCCCCTTTCAGTACACATAGTTAAACCGCACTAGAAACCACAATCGGAATTGGACCACACATGGAAATATGTTATGCCAACTGAAAGTGTGTCAAATCGAGCATCTTAAAA